ACGTTTACTTTTTGGTAGTTTCATAATTTCTAAGCATCGTGTTCTGAGAAGGTATACAAAATGCATAGATAAATAATTAAGAATTGAATAAAAAATATAATTAATTAAAAATCAACTATGACACCATATTATATCACATTCCAGTAGGTCTCTAAGCATAAATGTCAATGATACATTTCAGTTTAGATCGCCACGATACCTAGATGGTGCTAACACATACTTAGCACATAACTAACAAATAAAATATCAAACATTTTATGGCACTTCCATACTAAGAATAAAACTATTTCTTTGTTTCTCAATTTGAAAATGGAACAAAAGAACCATAGAGTTCTCATTCATCTCAATGTTTTCCCGCCATTATTAAACGCATCGACAAAGGTTTAATTGACGTCAGATAAAATATTTATTAATAAATTATTGTATACAATTGGAAAATTAGCATATGTACAGGCATTCTATTTGTAAATTGTTTTTCAATACATTCTCACGGTTAGGGATCTTTGCCTTTTGATTTATTATTGTTTTGATCGTTGTTCTGACATTTTTCTAATTGTCAACAAATCGTGACCGTGTTACGAGTAGGGGTGTAAACATATTTATTTTTAAATGCCTTTTTGTTTTGACCTGATTTTATTTATAAAGTTGTTTTTCTTAAATGTGCAGTATATTTATTAATATCTCGTTAACAAGGTTTAGGTTGTCAATTAAGTTTGTAATAAAGAACGACATCTGGTTTTGATATTGACGACAAAATAAAACAGCTAATTATTTGACCCATTTGTCACAATTCAAATTGACAAACGAAATCAAAACATAAATAAAATGCGAATAATGCGTTTATTAAGTACAATCAAGATGACAACATGAATAGTGATTTGACAGAATTCGAGCTAAGCCACAGATAAAATAAATTATTAAGAATTTAACACCACAGATGTTTTATTCAAAGTTTTGTTTTAACAATATATTACGACCTACACTATAGTTACGTCTATAGACAATGGCGATATAAATTATGTTTATATTATGTATTTGTAACAATTTTAACAATTCAAACGAATTTTAATTCGTTATTTATGGTAGGTATTTATGCCAGGCGTGACTTCAAATTGTGTTTTGGAAGTATTTAGGATTTTTCTAGTGGTTCCCAAAGTTTACACAGTGCGTATGGACGTTTATTTGTTTTCTAGCTTTATTTTAATACTAGCTACTTCCGCGGGGTTTCACTCGCTCGGCTCGGGGCCTATTAATCGTAGCGTGATATTTTATAGCCTAGTAGCCTTCCTCGATAAATGGACTATCCAACACAGAAATATTTTTTCAAATCGGACCAGTAGTTTCGGAGATTAGCGCGTTCGAACATACAGAAAAACAAACTCTTCAGCTTTATAATATAAGTATAGATTTATATTAGTCCTTAAGAATAAATTATTATGTTTTCGGCTTACTCACGTAGTAATTTGACGAGGAACACGACTAGTTTCAAACCATGCTAGAGGCTGCTGTAGCAGCGCGACAGTCGCCGCGTCGCGGGTCGCGAAATGCTGCTCATTTATTTATTTATTTATTTATTTAAATAGGTATACCAACAGCTTCTGTATACATAGTATTAAGTGATTATGAAAGTAACAATAAGTATTAGGCTTATACAGTCGCCAATTATAGGTTAACCAACAATATGAATATGAGCCTCTAGCATGGCTTGAAACTAGTCGAGTTCCTCGTCAAATTACTACGTGAGTAAGCCAAAAATATAATAATTTATTTAGTATGTCTCACGAAAGTTACAATACAAAAAAGTCCATTAGAAAGTTTTAAAAAATGTTTTTAGTGCGGTCTTATCAATCTGTTTACAGTAATTTCAGTTCTCTAAAGTTTATTAGCATACTGCTATTCTTATTTCTTTCTTTACAATTATAATGATATGTTTCTTAACCTATTCAGTTTACATTATATTTTATTTTGGGATAATGATTATTACATATATGCATTGTCCTCCCTTATTTCTGTTATTATAAGTATTACCCATTATAAATGTAATTTAATTTTCAAAGATTAAAGCTATGACCTCTACTTTTTTCATCTCTTTTTAAACTGTCAAACACCAAGCGGTCACCGGTGACCGCAACCTATTGTTCTTTAATTGTGTCTACAAAACCGGTACTCGACGAGTTAATCGCAGCGCACTGCAAACATTGAGAATCTCTGGTTTAATCAGTAAAACAATTCATAAATAAATGTAAATTGAAAATAATCTCAACGGGTGGTGACACTATAATTACTTCTGCCGCACCCTGGTCACTTGCAAGTCGTTAAGATTGTGCAGATTTAAGGTCTAGGACCTCAAAATATGTTTGATTTAATTGTAACACAGTGACGTCATTCATAGTAACGTAGATATTGTAAAGCATTTAGGTTCTGTCCAAAACTGGAAAGACAATAACACGATGTAGTAATATTACTTTACGCCATCTTTCAGTTTCACATGTTATGTAATCTTATGTAATAGGAGCCGGGTCTATTGTCATACACTGGGTATAGTTCCAAAACAAATAATATGAAGTTTCATGGTTAACACTATTATTAACTTTAAAAGAAAATTCACGAATTCTTTTTTCTCTTTCTTCCTTTTCTTTTCAATTTTGAGTGTGAATATATTAAGACTATTAATATGCTACTACTAAAATTTTTGTTACTTTAAATTATTTGTTATTAAAATTATAAAATGCCCTCATTTTTTAAAAAGGCCGACAAAGCAAAGGCAACTCTTCTGTTACTGCGAGCGATAGGCTCTGATAGGTACAGTCTGAGTAGAAGACGTTAAGTTGAGTGGATGACTTACCAACAGATGACCCGTTTAATCGTTTAATAATTGCATAATACTTCTTCATTTAATAACATTTTTTATTTAACATCACTTATAATTATCTATATTTATTAATCTAATAAAATGAATAGCAGATACAAGTACTTCATATCGTGCGTTATGATGGCAATAATTGTAATAATAACAGTAATTGTTGGAGGAAGCGTCTACTGCATTCCTTTTATTACCATATCAGCATACAGAATGGATAATTGTTTAGAGGCTACATTCGCAATACCACGAAACTGACAGTCGCTTCCTTATTGAAATTGTAATGAAGATAGACTCATCTTCATTACTGTTGTCGTTACTGCTTTGGTCCCTTTTTGGCTTTTGTCGGGAGAATGAATTGTGACATTTTTAAGGTGTCCAATTGGATGAATAAATCGGAATAATAAGTAAAAAGTACAGTCCTTTCTCATTACAGAAACTTTTGAATGAATTTATATTTAAAAATCAATTTTTTCATTAAATCCAATTTACAGTAGGTACGGTCTCCTTTTCTTCTTATAATACATATTTTAATTAAGTCTCCTAAAATAATCACAAACTCATTCACACGAGAATGTTACCGATAATTAATAATAAATGTCAAACCGCCATCTTTGTTTTCCAGTTTTCCCGCGTTATCCTTTCTCAAAGCATAGACAAGATATACGGAAATCAAACAATCGTGAGAGGACGACAGGATTATTTGTCTTTTAATTATCACGAATGTGTCATAGATAATAGTTTCCTTGCCTTACACTTCCTTTACGACAAGATCGTGAATTCTCTAAAATATCTCCGTGACTTTACGTTGTAATGTAAAATTCTTTGTATGTGAATTAATCGTGCAATGATATCCATCATGGGATGGACCACGGAAGCAAAACCTTATTCATGTGTTCATAATTATGTTCACATTATTTATAATAAAATTATGTTTTGCATAATATGACGTTGTTGCAAATTGTAAATGGATGTTTCTTTATTATTCATCTTAATAATCTGTGGTTTAATGTTATTTGGTTGATCTTCTTTAGTTATATTTTATGGCGAAGATTGAAATTATCATCAGAATATAGAAAATTACGGACTATTTCCTGATATATACAACTAAATCTATATTATATAAATATATAAAGAAATATTTTGATTTGAGTTTAACAGTAACTGAAACGACGCCATGACAATTCTATAAGAAAGAACGTTCTAATTTAGATATAAAAATAACTACCATTTTTATGAAATAACTTATTTAAGTATGTACCTTTTACACGTTCCTTGACAGATTACCTGTATAAGTACGTATTTAGTTATTTTATTTCTACCTAAGAAGTGATTGTATAAAAATATAAGTACTTTTATTATTATGAAGGTTCGTTTCTTAGAATGACACTATGAAACACTGCACTTGGGAATTTCCTTGTTACTTTATGTTTATTTTGTACCTCATTTTGTTTACCTGGCTAAAACAAATTAGCATGTATGATGACTAGGTAGCTTGATGAAGGCGAAATGATGATTCAAGCTGTGCAAGGAGGCTGTTTGATAAAATTTTGTATTTATTTTTATATGTTAATATCTAACAGCATGGAGTAAAATGTGATTGTTTATTTTTAAATATTGATATTGAGTTATTCAAGTATAATTTTTGGACTAACGAAAAATGGGAATGCTAAAGAGTATCAGAGATTAAAGCCACTAATAATTGAGTGATATCTATCTTTATTCATCTGCTAGTTGACGTGAATTGTCATTGATAGAAATAATATTAAAAAATGTTTTATAAAATCTGATTTCAAGTAACTTAAAGCAGCTACGACATTGAAATTAAAACGCACAGTTTTAACTAGGCATATGCACACGTATAATGAGATAAGTAAATAAATATAGCCTCCGTCGGGCAGTTAGATCACGATCTCTAAATTCCCACGATATTTCCCGTCTAGTTTCTTAGGTATAATCATAATTTTGTCCCCGAACCGTTTTTCGGTAAATGCCAATTTTAAATTTTGTCGTTGACAGTTTTAATGGCATTCGGAAGACGCCATCTTCATTTTTCTTGATGACTTTCTGATCAGTGTGTTTTCTTTTGTTTTTTTCTTTTTATGGTTGTGTGAGTGTAATGTTGATGTTTTTTGTGCAGGAAGGTGAAGAAGACGTTGGTGACTTGTACCAGGATGAGGAGAATGGAGCTGCCCTCCTTATCAGAAGACACCCCAAACACGGCAAATTAGTTGTGGTGAGTTATTCCACCTTTTATTCCCTATGTATTCAAATGTCTGAAACTTCCAGGTGTCTAGCAGGCATTGACTACTAACTTACGCTTAAGTGTCATAAATACACAAAATAATAGGTAATCCCATTACAATAAAATCAAGTAATCGAATAAAGTTAAAATAGCCACAATCGAACCATAAACAATGAACACACTGGCCACAAATAAACTTAACTACCTATTATTTAAAATTCGAACACACTAACGTGCTGTCCGATTCCATATTAAGAACTTTCAAAATGTCCTAAGGTCTAGTACTATAATTCCAAATTACACACAATTACTTCACGAAATTAACAACACTACCGACTTAATTAAAGGGCCTTAACACGATTGTTGAACGATGCGTGTCAAGAATGAATTTATTAATAATTATAATTATAACAGCTGTTGCAATATTTGGCGCCATTTGCATAAATAAAACGTCATGCACTAGCTACTGTCAGTGTCAGTTCGGCGAAGCTAAAGTTCATCTGTAATTTGTTTGTCAGTAATTTATCCACGCCTTTAGGTTATTGAAAGATTAATTACGTCAATAAAATTTATGGAATTTATGCGATTTTATTGATTCGGTACCTATTTTAATGTATAATGGCCTTATAGTTCTAACGTTTGGTTTTGATTGTATACGTAAGTTAAACAATTTGTCCATGCTGACATATCTTGCCTTTGATTCAAGTGAAGAATCAGAAAAGCAACTACCTTCGGAATATCAAGCGATACCTGATCGCTTACCATCGCGCGATCCGTCTGCTCTTTTACCTCCCATTCTATAAAAAAACCTACTGCAGAATTTTAAATTCATAGTGGCCAGTGTCGTTCATCATATGTGCACTTAATTTATCTATTGAAGCTAATAAAGAGGTTCTTGAATCAATAGTTCTCATAACTCCGAATTTCTTTCCTATACATATTTATTTAATAGGTATATATCAAGCTCCTAGCAACAAAAGTTTCGTAATAACGTTACTAGTCACGTCTCTAGAGTCTTAGTTTATGGTTAGCAATGACATTGGGACGTGTACGAAATCCAGAGATTGTTACATCCTGTTGTATTTACGCATGACGTTTTATGTTAATCAGTTGTCAAATGTTTTATGATCGTCATCTAACGGCCAGTTACAACAAACTATCTGTCGGTAGAATTGTATAGTGATAGACTTTTGTCATGTTTTGTATAGAACTTATGAACAGGTCTACCTCTAAATGTTGTTTAAAGGGATTCCAGGTGCGATGACCAAGTCAGTCAAAGTCAAAGACAAAATCATTTATTTCAATCAGACCAGAAAGGCACTTTTGAACTTCAAAAAAATTAAAAGTGAAGATATCTGCTCATTCCAAGGTGTAGATTCCTATATGTTGCCATGGTTTTTGGAATCGTAGCCGTAATTATATTAGTCTGTCTAACTAAAAACAAAATCACTTTTTTATCACACCTGATCACGACTGGATACTAAAAACTTCATTCTTAACTAACTTCACTTTTAAAAACAAATTAATCGACTAAATAACATTATTACGACAAAGAGTTCAAACCCACTTTCTTACAATCAAAGTTGTTCATCTAGCTGTGAGACCATAGACACAATAGACTTGCAAACAAGACTAAGGTCGATTGCTCAACAGCCAAGCCGAACCCAGAGTATCGTAGGTGTGAACGAGAATATAATCTGTGGAGTATTGTAGGTACTTTTGTACAAAGGCATATATACTTATACAGCCTTCATGTTGGTAAAAAAAAGTATTTGAATGGGAATTAAGATAAAAGATGATTTTTGAGGTTCTGTGTTTTATGTCGCAAACAAAGAGAAGAACTAAAATTACTTAAAAGTTTTTGGTTATTAAAAACTTACAATTAAGAGGCGTTCACTATCTGAAACATGACATAAATTATCTAGGCTTCAAATGGCTAGGTCATCGTAAATTTTCAGGATCAAAAATAGCAGAATTTGCCCTTGAATCATATATATGAGACCCCGTACTCCACAATTATCTCTTGTTTGCAAATAGGTAAGTCTTATTTGACTTATTAGGCTTATTCAACTTTTACTCAATCTCATACTTCAAGTACCAATAAAAATAATAACTAGATTGCCCGTTAATCTTAATCCAACATTGAAACAAGCAGAACAACACGGTGAAACTAGTTTATAAAACTAATTAGTATAATTAAGAAGTTTATGTGTATCTAATTAACGTCTTCATTAACACTCCGCGGGCTACTGTTCAATGTAACTTGTCATTATCTGTGACAGATGTTAGGGTTCCGGTTGGGCAAGCATGTGACCTCTTTTATGGGGCACTTTCGAGATATAATAACTTAACTACTATACTATAACTTTATCCAATGACTTAACTGTCAAAAACTGATCAATTCGATACTAAGAAATTCTCATTGGCGGTATCTAAGGCGTATTTGGCGCCATCTGAGAAATACCTGATAGTGAATCTTTACTTCGTTTTTCTAAATTATCTCATTTCCAAAAATATGCAATCAATATTTTTGTTTGACAATAGCAAATTCTCTATCTTGTAACAAACCTTAGTTCCTAACACCTTTTACGTTATATGTAAGTAACAATCTGGAGCGATCGTCCTCATTCTGACTGATTTAGTGACAATATTTGGTAAGAACCGTAGCTATTGGCATTCCATTATCTCTGCTATGGAAGACAGGCGTGAATTTTTCTATGCACGTTTGGTAGCATGCCACATCTCGTTGCACAGAACATTTTAGCATAAAAAAGGACGCAGCCAAACTTTTTAACCTTTTTTTTTAAATTATCACATCTCGAGGCTACATAAAAAGTCCCTACATTACATTAAACTTCACTTTATCACCTCATAAAATATTAACGTGTTTTGATGTTTCGTAGCAACACTGTTGTGCGCATAAAGTATTGATTAAATGTCTTGTCTTCAATCAATACCCACACCTAGAGATGTTTTTCTACAAATATAAGTTATTGCAAATTGTTCTAGGTGTTTTATTATGTTTATTCCATTTTCTCTTATTAAGATGGCGGGTATAAACAATGCATTAGGGTAACGTAGTCTGTCTTTACATTGCCTTTACCCAAACGCCACTTTAGCGCTTGTCTACAGGGAGAGTAGAAAATTAAATGTATGGGGATGATAGTGACAAGTGTCAAAATTTACGTCAATTCCATATAATTTGGTTTTCTATTCTACATGCAGACAAGCGCTAAATGGCATTTGGCTACAGCTGCAGGTCTCATTATTAACTTTATTATAATGTCAAATGTTCAAAATTATCAAGCCTACGTCCTTCTTATTTTTCATACCGATACAATGTCTCCTTTTTTAATATGTATTATCCTACCAAACGTTATCCTATCTCTTTTCTCTTTCATTATTTTTATCAAGCTTCTCATCATGCAATCTATTCATCTTTTCTTTTGTCATCCTCTAGATTTCCATTTTTCTTCATTTAAAGTTTGCGTATGTACATTGTCGTCTTTGTTGCCTGTGTTGTGTTGACGTTGACAACCTTTTTTGTTGATTTAGGAATGTTTATATGTATGTTTTTAATAAAATTTGCAAACAAATATGTAATTGTAACGCATGGATGCAATTTTACCACTTGTGAATGATTTTTCCTGATTTTTGTTACAAACAAAGAAAAATCTTGTAAACATTAAAGTTTACTTTTTACCTGGTCTCAAGGAAGAATGAGGTTTCATTTTGACTACCACACCTATTTTTTTCAATATATTTATATTGTATGTGTACATAAATACAGATATACATTTTAAATCCATGCTTTAGTCAACACAAGAGGTTGAATTTAAAGTCAATCGCCACTTAGCACGATTTTTTAACTTTTTAAACTTGCACCAACTGAACTAAAAATCGCGGGTTACTCATGTGAATATACTGAGAAAAGCTCTACAAGTTACGAACCACCGCGATTTTTAGGTAATTTAGTATCTCTCACGATAGTTATTATAAAAACATTGCATCATCTTCATGCATTTGGTCATTCTAGCATTCTAGATAAGACTACTTCTACGGCTTCTATCCTTTATGTCGCATTGTCAATAAATAATAGCGTTATATTAGAATCGTGTCCCACGATCATTAGACTAACTTAACATGAAACAAAGTCACTTGAACTTTATTTGGAAGTTCAAAGTGATATCCGACAACGATAACAGTGGTCTAAGGTACCTTTAATTTAAATTAAACTTAAATCAAGAGCGTATTCCTTTTTAAAAGGCCGGCTACACACCTGTGATTACTCTGGTGTTGCGAGTGTCCATAGCCGGTGTCGATCGCTTACCATCATGTCATCCGTTAGCTCATTTGCCTCATCCTTCATAGAAAAGTGTGAACTACAAGAGTGGACTCACTCAAGTAGATAGGTATTAGATTGTTACCTGCTAAAATAAATGACGATAAAATAAATGAATTAGGTACATACCTCGAGATGAAACTGCAGTTGAATCTTTGATAAACGTAATGATCTATCATCTGCCTGTTAATTCGCCTTCGTGACCAGGGCGTAAAGTAGCCAAATATTCAAATCCGTTCAGAAACATTTGCGTGGAAGAACAACAAACGTATGACACATGATAAGGCCCCTTTCATATATCTTTCCTTTATGTGGAAGACCCATGCTTCATCACGAATAGACTCCACTCCAGAGACTCGAATGTTATCCTTATACTTCCTACTAATGCGAAAGTTTGTAAAGATGTATGTGTGCGTGTGTTTTTGTTACTCTTTCACGTCAAAATGGCTGAAGAGATCGAAATAAAATTTGGAACGGGGATAGATACCCTATTAGGCTACTTTTATTCCACGGGAACGCGGATAAAATCGATGGCAGAAATAGTCTCTCATAATAAAACTACTTATAGAAAAACAAATCTTAAAATAATAGTAACAAAATTCACAATTCTGTTTCGTTTTACAGGAAGGCTCAATCGGTCACGATTTGGTGATTCGTCCCATCCCCGACTCGATGACGGCGGCCGCGCAGGACGATGAGATGTTCATGGATCCTTCCAGCATGGCTGATATGGTATCTATTGATACTGGACTGCCTTTAGGTAAGATCCTTTAGTATAGACTTATTATAGTCTGCCTCGTTGGCCGAGTGGTCGCAAATGCGACTGACTGCTGGGCAAGGGGTCTCGGGTTCGATTCTCGGGTCGGGCAAAGTCGGAGTACGGAATCTGGAATTGTGCCCGGTATATGGCAATAGCCTCACCCCCTATTACATGGTACTCATAACAGTGAAGAGTGGGTATTACATTGTACAGTGGCATTAAGTGCCGTAATGTGCACGTCTGACTACCTTCGAGTTATGTTTTTAATTATATTACATCGTATAAAGTGGCCAGTGCCCATATTATGATATGCTGACATGTCTTTCTACGGTATTTATCAATGGTAGAAAAGTATATTATATATATAGGTACCTAAAATACCTATTAAATATATTGATAAGTTGTATCGTGTAAGAATATTAGACTGTATCTTCTTTTCCCCACGAACTCATTAGAAATGAGGATAATATACCGTTTAATAAATAAAATCATTCCTTTCAAAACGAGGTACAGTCTTGATGGAAAATTCATTTATAAGATTTTTAGCTTTATTTCATATAACATGTTTACAGTAAAAAGAAAAAGAGAAGATCAACAAAGGTTAACACAGGCGCTTAATGGCGCCCAACATGTGATCATCAAGAGAGACCCCGCCGACGCAGAACACGATCACTTAGGAGATTACGGTAAGTTATCTACACCACACTATAATACAAGTACCTAAACATATAACACTAAATAATAACTAAAAACGTATATTTTTAAATAATCGCGAAAATTATCTCCGAATAACAAATTAATCGACTAAAACTTGATACAATCGACTAGCTTTCACATAAATATTCATCATTATGCAAAGACAAGGAGCGTTTAGTTTTGCGTTTATTCTAAAAATACAACATAAATCACAAAGAGGTCTTACATTGTCTTGACATGTGGAACACGCGCTTCTACGCCCGTAAACATGTTTACTCTTCATAAAATTATTTATCTAATAAATCATCACAACCATAATAAATCAGAAAACAGTAGCGACATCTACAACCAATATTACCCCATTATTATTTATCTATGTACACGTGCATCTTCGTAGAGATGTCACGTGCATTGCACATCCATCGATTACACATACTTTATAATCGAGATAATCGACTTATGTTAATAGTACCGGTTTAGAATGCCACATCGTATCTATGTTTCTTGAATGATTATGCTCATATGCCGTATCAATTAAAGTGATATAAAAATCATGAACTATTTCGGATAATGATTATATTTCCATACATAAGGCTTTATTAATATCTAATTACAATATTAGAATAAGTATATGTAGATTGGTAAATAAAACGGTTTTTATTAGATTCAAATGTTGATGACATTTGATTAAAGTACAAGTTGCTACAACAAAGTCTAACTATTGATCAGTCAGGAAACCTTCACACTCACCTACTTTTAATGAATTAGCCAACATAATAATTACATAACAACAACATTTTATAAGGTTATACCAACATTAGAATTTGATAAATTGATCGATAAAATTATAGAGTAGTGCATGCAATCCGATTATATGTTTAGTCGATTAGGTCAGAGTTCAATTCAAATTCTTTGCTGCGCTAACTTTTTTAGTAAATTAACAAAACAATTTTTTAAATTACATACATATTACATCTATTAATGAATGAATGAATGAATGAATGACGCGTAGTTCGTGCCTTTTGTGACGTAAAATGAGACGCCATGATGCATTTCTCAATGTCAAGTATAATCTCTACGAACAACTTTAAACTTTTTGCAAGAAACAGCAAATGAATACCTATATAAGAAAAAGATAAGTTTCTTATACATTCAATGAAATAGTTACCTGCATTTTTACTTTAATAAGATTTATTTCACTTAGAAACTTCTAGAACGAAATCTAGTAATATTCATTGATACAGCAATTTACTTCTCATAAATACGCAAAATATTTATTGATTATTAATGACGACATTTTTGTCATCACTATATTTAAATCATGAGTTTTACAATAGAATAATTATACGATTTTTATTGATTGTTGTAAACCATTAAAATATTATAAGGTACGTATATTGTTAATTTGTACTGTTATTCTTCCGCCTTATTAGTTTCCATCAATCAAAACATGTGTATCTAATGGTTTCTGATGATTTGTGACAAATAAATCATATGATTCACCAATAAACATGACGAATTGACATTTCAAATTATTTTAGTCTATGGTGTAAAGTGTACCTACCGCTAATTTTAACACTAATTGTTATTCCATATTTTAGTCGAATTGTAATCGATTCAAAATACGTTTCTATTTTATTGTAATTCTATAACCGGTCATTGCTCGGTCTTGGATGTTATCAAACTTAAAAGTTGTTTATGTATTTGGGCAAGATTATGCTATTTTTCTAAGATCTAGACAAAACAAACATAGGATAGCAATCATTTTACTTATTATCCCAAGGAATTATAAAAGTCTAAGATATCGATTTAAATCTCTATCTTATAATAAAACAACTGCAATCAACAATATTTAGTTATTTAATTTTGCAAATCTCTAAGCAAATACTTAAATTATATAAATTGACCAATACAGTTAGATCAATTAACATTTTAATGTCTTTTGGATTTTATCGTAATATTAAGCCGCAAAATTATCATATTTTGACCATTTATTCGTATCTAATAATTTGTAGTCACAAGTGTCAACGCTAAAATGTTGAATCTTCTAATTGGCATATAATTAAGTACAAACATAAGTACCTATACAGCAGATATAAGTAATAATACCGTTTGACAGTTGTTTCTTAAAAATGGCAAACAAATTCATTTTTTTTTATTTCCTTTTATTGTCTAAAACAAAGAACTTTAATTCGGATGGTTACAAATTAAATCGTATAGATTACTAAAATAAAATAGATATTATGATATAGATATATCCTTTTGCTGGTTCCTAAGCAACATGAAATTCACTTTTTTAAGACATGAGAATAGGCAGAACGTATAAAGCGCCCTCTGGCCTAGCAGCAACTATCCTTGTAGACTTTTATAATATTCACGCATCTGTACACACAAACACAAGAACGCCGCCGGTGTAAGTAGGTCCTTACATTATTTTTAATTTATAATTATGTTTTATAGCTGTAGTGTATTCCTCATGGTTTATTACTATGGGATGAAACAGCCGTTTGTCTAAACTTCATCCAATCCAAGATGGACTTCGAAACTGGTTTCATACAAAATGTCACCTCTATAAACTTGAATCAAGCGTATCTGTATTTATAAATACTTAGGTATCAACTATTAATTAATAATTATTATTACCTTGCAAATAAGATTTATTTATATTCAAGTTACGAGCCTCTTGCGTTGGTAGCAACTTAGGTAGACAAATCCTAACTAGAAGGTAAAAGATATTTATATAAAATTGCCAGTTTTTTATTTCAGTAAACTATGAACTATCATCAAAGATCAATGTCATCCTGATTATTGTCTTGTATTTCCCAACAATCAATGAGTTGGCAACAATTTTAATTGTCAATGGGTTCAAAGAGCGTTAATGATTCGAATTTTCCACGAAGTTATGTGATAATTATTGGTAAGTAGGTCTCTCGGCTCTCCATCTCAACCTAGATATAGATAGAAACTAATCAAATATCATGTAACGATCGAAATACGACCAAAACAAAAGAGTTAATTAAACAACAGTGACAATAGAAGAATCGTTCATTCGTTCATCAATACTAATTTAGAAACATTTTGCATAGCTACGTAAAAACAAAATTGTACGGATTAATATTTATAATGTCTTATAAAAGCGTTCGTATAATGTCAAGTTATCATAGATTTCCGAGTAAATCTCGTTTTGCTATTATGAACGTTATTCCGTCTCTGACGGGGTCATAAGGTCAGACTCTAACGTCACCCATTATTTTAAATTTGCGATAGAAAAAAAAGCTCAGCAATAATTCGGCGGTTCATGAATAATCCAATATTTGGGAAAACCGAACGCGACAGCCTACTGTAGGAATATATTTAGGTCCATTTTTATGATATAAGGAGAGGTTAACGTACCCATCAGTAGGTATTTTCGTCCATTGTAATTTAATTATAGGTTCTTTATAAATTCCCGTTATGAACATCGTAGATGCAAAAGAAGCATTATTATCTACTACTTGTTATTGCTTTTTGTTTAAAATATTTTAAGTAAAAGAAAAAACTCTGTCCGGTTTATTAAATAAAATTTCTCGAGGCAAAATACCATCATTTCACACATGCACGTTTGAACTTGTTCGTGACCACAAATATTGTCTCGATTGAACTTTAATTTTTTATCGATTATGCGCACAAAAATCGGCTAAACTAATTAGTTGCCTCTGACCTTCGACTTTATTTCTTATTTTTTGAAATGTTTGTTGTTGACTCTATGGGTCGACTTTAAGTTTTTAAATTATGAACAAAGTAATGTAGGTAATTTAGGTCTTTTACCCGTCCTATCAAAACACATTTTTTTTAATTTATATTTATATGTAAAGTAATCCAAAAAATAGGTGCACAGCTGTGATTATTTCTTGATGCCCGATAGTTGACGCTGTAAAACAGCTTTGTCATTATAATTATTTCTCGGTAATAGGGTACCTATCTAATGATATTTGATCATAGTATTTAGGTATCTACTTGAAGATAATTACTTAAATTGATATCTAGTCAACGATGTCCATTGTAGTTACTGTGCACGTATTAATTAGTACACTCTTGGAGTCTTGGAGATCGAAAAATAATCCTTATTACTATCGGAATAAAGTCGTCACATATCTATTTAAAATAGGTATGCAGGTATTAGGTAGAATACACTTGTGCAACAGAAAATAGTCCCTATTACTATGGGAATAAAGTAGTTACATACGTGTGTTCGATATGTTCTATTACACGTTTTTGAAATAAGCCAGCATTGCTCTTGCCAATAGAATAAAAATGTTACACTAAATTAGTTTTGGAACTATCTAATGAGACAAAACCTATTATTTTATTTAGGTACTGAGCATAGAATGGTACATATTAGTACCTAGTAGGTAGATAATCTGTTTGCCTAAATTATTTCGCTCTAGATCCAAACTAAAAATAATCCTGTATGCCTCGTCCGTCTTAATTTATTAGTCATCCTTCAAGGTTCACCTAAAATAGTTATCAGTAGGTATTCAAATTATTATCATTTAAGTTTAAAATTAAATTTCACGTTCTAGAATAATAAAAAGGTATCGAAATCTATCTACCAAAATTAATAAATAACATTTGCATTTTTAATTGAATCTCACATTCTAGAATAATAAAAAGGTAGCTATACCTAGCCATACCGTAATCTATGTAGGTACTAAAATTTACATAGGAAAGTTCTAACAGCCAGGAGGTATATAAAACCAAAATTTCTAATTTATCTAATTCTTTCTTCAAACTCAAAAGCTTATAATCAAATCATACATATATCGTAATGCTAAATGCCATTAGAAACTCTTAACGCCATCTAATGTTCAATTTTGAAAAGAAACTAAATTAGTTCTTCCACTACCTAAGAGATGGCATTACGCATGCTTTCATATTTAGAAGATACTCAATTTTCTTATAATTTTCTTTTATTTTTCAGCATTCATGGAACCAGATCATTTGGGAAAGCGATTCAGAAGGAAACGCTCGACTGAGTCTCATTCCAGACGGAAAAGAGAAGCACCCTACGTAATTTATCCTGAAATTCTGGTCATCGTTGATTATGACGGCTATAGGTAAGAATTTAAAGGGCCCAGTTTTTATATCCTAAAATTATCTGGCATTCAAACTTAAGAAAAAATCAACAACCAACGAGTTTAATGCACAAAAGTGGTTCCAAGTATCTACCTATCATTGTCTAACAAGATGTTTCGGAATCGATTCCCGAATATTTGTGATAATGAGGCGTTTTTGACTTGTCTATTTGTTGCTGTGTGGGAAAAAACCACCCCCTAATTACGTGACATTTTTAACATAGCTTTACCTGCTAGTCAAAACTGGGTGTTAAGTACTGTATTACACAGTAGGTAGGTATAAATGCAACTCAGCATATCCCATAGACATAATAAAGTTTTTATATTTTTATAATACTGACTGCCTCGTTGGCCGAATGGTCGCAAGTGCAACTGCCGGGCAAGGGGTCTCGAGTTCGATTCCCGAGTCGGGCAAAGTATTACGGGGTTTTAAAAAAAAATCTCAGTAGTAGTACGGAGTCTGGAATTGTGCCCGGTATATGACAATAGGCTCATCCCCTATTACATGGGACTCATAACATAAATAGTGAAAAGTGGGTGTTACATTGTACAGTGGCATTAAGTACCGTAATGTGCTCTGCCTACCCCTTCGGGGATAAAAGGCGTGATGTTATGTTATGTTATGCTATAAATGCAATTTATCCAATCCCATAGACAAAATAAAGTTTTTATATTTTTATAACATAATAATATTTCCGTGGCCTATCCACATTAGCATTAAATCTTATGTTATTGTAGGTTTCTACTTACCTATGTGCTAAAACTTCTATTCAATGAACTTCAGGTTACATGGTGGCGACAACGTCCAGATAAAACGTTACTTCGTATCGTTCTGGAACGGCGTGGACCTCCGATACAAACTGCTGAAAGGACCCAGAATACGGATATCCATCGCCGGTATCATTATTTCTAGGGTAAGTTTCACTTAAACTCTATTACAAAGGCGATAAGAATCACTTTTCTCTAAACTAAAAGATATTTAAAATGTGCCGAGGGAAATTATGCTCTATTACAAGTTGATACAATTGTTTTTCTTTTGACAAATATTTTTGTAGACTTAGGTAATGAAGCACTTATCTTTAGTGTTATTTTATTTATTTATTACAGAATAATTGTACACATTTTTATTAAAATATTATTCAATGAGGTGAAATATTTCTTTGTCATAATAACAATATAGGTTTAAGAATTTGCCATCAACTTGAAATCAACCATTTCATCAGTTTCTATACAGAGTTCTTCCAGTAAATTCTTTTTGGATTTAGGGTAGCCCTCTAGCACTGCATCTAGCATGTCACTGCAAATTCTTTTGCGTTTTCTGAAGAAGAAAACAAAATATAAATAAATAGATAATTGTCAAAATTAGATAATATTTTATAAAATTCTCTATAGTCTAATCACAGTAACGTTTACCTTATTTCACATCGCTAATAAGGAATGTTTTAAAATATTTGGTTACCTACCTATATTCTTTCAACATTTTTTCATGTTCACCAAGTATTTTTTTCTTATCTTCAACACTTATAACCTCTGTGGAGGTTTTCAATATTTCCAACTTTTTCTCTATGGCCTCTGTTCTATTTTTAATTTCTTCTATTTGTGTTTTTGCTGCCGTGGTAGTTGGTGTTGAGACTAAGTTTTTGAGATTTATTTCAATTCCTTTTAGCGTATTTGTTTTATCAGATAAATCTTGAGTCAGGGACTTGAATAGCGCATCATAATCTGTAACAATAGGTATAAATGTTTAGAGTTTAGTATAGGTAGTTTAAAACTATTTATTTCTGATTTATTGATGAAATTATGGAACCAACCTGTTACATCTTCATCCTCTTTTACACTATCAGTTTGTATAGCAGCGTAAACTTTTTGCTTGCCATACAATTTGCATTTTATCTTTCCCGCTTCACTCAAAGCATCTAACGCTTTCTGAATCGCCGTCTTCCCGAAAGCTCCACGCAAATTAACTGTTACATCTGCACACGAATATGGACGATTTGTATCCACTAAATACTTCAACACTGCTTCACTCGCCATTTCAAAGTAATAAAATAGAATAATAAACCCAAGCTTCAGTTTTTAAAATCCCGCCATTGTCATTTTCTTATATTTTTTTGACAGTTGTTATCCGATAGTGATGTGCGTAATATCGATTTAGTAACATAGTAAGTCGATAAACATGTCAAAATTTTCATCATCTGAGTAATGGCATCGTGTATTAAACTAAAATAAAAACATTGATTTCGAAATATTTCGAGTTAATATTATGCAAACATAGTATTTCTGGTTTTGAATCAATACAGTGCTGGGGATTCCCTTTGTGTTAAACACTAAAATTGTGATATCTCGATGTACTGACGCCATTGTATTACGCAAAATAATTAATTTCATATCCATAAATTTAAAATAGTTATCATTAAATTGGTAAACTAAAACTTGAATTTAAACAAATCCACGTAATAGAGGCTGCACAATGAACTGTTCCTACTTCAGGCATGATTTCAGTCTATTACTGAGAAATAGACTTTTTAAAAGGTCAATAAACATATCAGGCATTCCATTAGCATAGCAACATAAATATATCTGCTAGATTCAATGTTATGGAAGAAATGTGAACATTTTAAGCCTTTGAAACCTGAACTGAGCTTAAGTCACAAACACAGAATTAATTTGAATAAATTAAAAACACCTGCAATATTAATGAGATGAATGGTGGTTATTTAATTGTTATGGTATAAAATCGATAAAAGCATGTGAATTTATAATACCTCATGAACGATAACAAAAACAGCAATAGCGCACGAAACATGTTTTGTTACCAACTTGTGAAATTACTAAAAAAAACTGATTATTCAAGGTGAGGAAAAGTTACTTGGGCACAATTCGCTTTTGAACTTTAGACCTTTAACCGTGTGACTAATAAGTCTCCTTGGATATTATGTCACGAACTATGCACCTCGTCGTCAATATTTCTTCAATTCTGAATGGAACGTTCTATAAATACCTACTTAATCCAAATGTTGTACTCCAACGTATTAAACAGTTAATATTCTGAATTCCAGGGTCGGGATGCTACACCATACCTTGAAAGAAATCGTGTTGGGCGCGATGCGATTGACTCAGCAGCGGCGCTCACTGACATGGGCAAGTATTTGTTCAGAGAGCGACGCTTGCCCGTGTACGATATTGCCGTTGCAATCACCAAGTGAGTTTACTTTTTTTACTTGTATGATTATATTTTTAGTAATTCATATTACAAGAAAACATAGTTATTTTATAAGATACGTCTATTCCACGTGCTAGGCTAAAAAAATATTGCAATGTAATTTGATATTATTTTATTATTATAAATGACAATCGTCAGCTGACCTCAACAATATATTAATTTCATCTTCGTATTGCGCATATTATGTAATCGATAAGATGTTTACAAAACATTTTATTCAAACACATTTTGATGCAATACTGAATGGCAATTTATACGATACTGAACATTACTGTTTTGTAATAACGAGAATACAAGACGACAAATTTTGAAATGACTGAGCTTATTTATGTTAAATATCACTCAACTTTTTGAAAATATTATCTGTATTTGAGATTTTGCCATTATACTTTAGAACTTATGATTTATGTACACTCAACAGCATTTTATAAATATTGTTTTATTGTCCATGCGACAATCAGGAGCAAAGGTAAGTTGGTAAGTATTTCAATGCTTTTAAATCTTAATTTAGCGCCATTATTCAAAGTAATTACTGTAAAAAATTCGGTCTGTAGCTCTTAAGACAAGTTAAGGTGAAGGTCAAGAAATAATTATGAAGACAAGGAAACTAATTTGACCAACAGGTATGACATGTGCCGACGTCGCAAGGGTGGTCGCTGTACAAAAGGCACCGCTGGTAAATTAAATTTTAAAACAAATGTTCATTAGGATGGTGTTGTCAATCGGCGCGGCATTAACCGGCTTGAGAGTGAAACATTAATTATTTGCTTCATTATTCTTATTTATGAGGTAAAGGATTTGGTAATGGCGCTGAATATTAAAAAAGAACACTATACAATAGCCGCTTGCACAAGATGACGTTGTTTCGTGAAGATATTTCGTTTTATTTCATTTCTTACGTGAAATGAGGTGAACAAACAATAGCACGACGATTTGTGGCAGATTTTTCTCAGAAACCAAAGAAATATAGAATCTTATTGAGTTTTATTCTTTCCATACAATTTCAGACTAGACATGTGCAGAAGACAATATCCCAACGATGCGTGCAATAGAGGGACAGCAGGTAGGCGTGTTAGAAATCTTACATTTTCCAAAAGCACGCCTTTTTCATCAAAGTCCCTCACCTATTTGTTCATAATTTTACACTTTGGATCCCCACTTGAATATACCTTTACCCAACTCCGTGATTCATATTCGCACCTTGTGAATAATATTCTGTCTTTTCTGCAGTGACTTCTTCTAGTTACATTGTAAATCTTTGTGAATGCATCATTTTAGATATTTAGATGTTGTTGTAAATATTAATCTTCTTCCATTGTATGTAGTTTGGTCATAAAAAATATTTTGTATTTTATTATGTCTTCGTTGTCTCTATTTACTTATTCAAAATATTTTATTTCAATTGACTAAATATCTAAGCGTTTATTTTCATTCTCATGTATTGTTTTTAGATACTATCTGACTTCATCGTCATTTAAAATGACTCAAGAGTACGTAAATAACAAAGTTATAATAATTTAGGCATGAATTTGCTTTCTTAAATATAATAATTAATAGCATGATATTTTTGTGTAGTTTTGTTTTCAGTTCGATTATTTATAGCATATTTTTTAAGAAATAGATATTCAGGAGGCCCACCTATGCAAAAATCGACTTAGTAATATAATCGACTAACTAATTTTGGTTGAACAAAAAAGTCACATCACTAAGTGTCATGTGACTTGTTGACATGATACTGAAAGCGCGGGAAATTTCGATTTTATTTTTTCTACTTCTGTGTTATTTGTGCTTTTCGCTTTAAATTAATACTAAATAGATATAACATTAATACGTTAAAATGGGCATTAACTGACAAAATAATTAGGTATATGCAATTATTTAAATTTTTCCTAATCTTAATTGCATGCTATGGGTAAAATGTTAACTAACCGCAAATATAAATAAAATGGTGGTGCAACATAATGCTTTTGCGTGGATTTAATGTTTGTAATGCATGTTTTGTGTATCCTATCTCCTCAACACTTCACTGTGAGTATATTAATCATATTTAAGTATTTTTTGTGTCCACGTATTTTTTTCACGCATCCTATTCGCATCGAACTGTAAGTAGCCTTAGCCTATAAATATTTATTACCTTTTTATCTCAAAGTCCTAAGTCCTTACATGTCACGCATTCATTTTAAAATCTCAATTCACAATTCTTGTACCTACCTATTCATTTTTATTTTGATACCTGTAATAGGTACATAGCTACCTACCTATTCTCTGAAAATTATTGTTCCTAATGTTTTTTTTACAAATATTGACACATTCAGCCAAGATGTGTCTTATACGAAATAATTGTCAGACGAAATTCCTTCTCAATAATAATAATTCACATCATTGTTTCCAACTCCAATAATTATTTAAAGTTTCAATACTTACACGAATGTAATAAATAAAAGGTTTCGCGTACGTCGGCGGCGCTTGCGTGGTGAACAAGAGACTTGAGAAGGTCAACTCTGTTGCAATCATTGAGGATACCGGTGGCTTCTCCGGCATCATTGTCGCTGCTCACGAAGTTGGACATTTGTAAGTATTGTACAAACTGGCCTTCATACCGAATCAAAACGTATTTTTCTTTTAATATTGTTTACTTAGATACTACAAACTGCAAAAGTACCAATCAATAATGAGCTTTATATCAATTGTACCTATGTACTAATTTGATATTTTAAAATATAGCTATGTTACAAGATTTTAATTACATTACTAAATTAAATGTAATTACAAAAATATTTACAACTTAAAATCAACTACTACTAAACCTATGAAGAAAAAGAAATAAAAAAATAATAATTCAAATAAAAGTTTTTAGCTATACTTAATTACATTTTTAGGCTGAATGAAGTAATTTTAGGTGCAGTTACATGTTGGAGTGTTTTTAAAAAAAAAAACCGTTTTACTGAGTCACTTATTATAGTACCTTTGGACTTGATACAGTCATTCTTATGACCTTTTACATACTCATAGAGATGGTACAGTCCTCTATAATATTTATTTATTTTTCCACTTTGCTATCTGACTTTATACTCTTACACAATTACCAACAAAATTCCTTCATAATTTCAGACTAGGAGCAGTCCACGACGGTAGTCCCCCACCCTCATATTTAGGAGGCCCCGGAGCTGAGAAGTGTAGGTGGGAGGACGGATACATCATGTCAGACCTGAGGCACACCGAGAAAGGATTCCGGTGGTCACCCTGCAGTGTACAGAGCTTCCATCACTTTTTGAAGTGAGTATTACAATATTATTATTATGAAATTTTTTCTATTTTATTTTGGGCCATCATGGCTTGTTTGAGACTTAACAATATTTCTTTAAGGACTTGGCAGAACTTACCAATAATGTAATGTACCTTCAAAATAACAATATTAAGTATTATCTAGTAGTATGATGATTATCTTCTGTAAAATTTATGTAGTCTGTTAATTACAATTAGAAATGGGTGAAAATGTTCCCACAGTCAAACTATTGCAACGTTTTGTGGGGCTTGGATTATAAGATACTTACCTGTGTGATTGAAACATAAATAGTAATAAAAAATGTGTGAAAATTATTTGCATTAAAAATAAAATATATTATTGCAAAATCATACCAGTGGTCTTAAAAATTAAGTGGAATAATTTGACTTTGGACAATACAGCTTATATGGTATGATAGTTACATCTATATAATGTATTGCAAACTTTTCTGTCATACAAATAAAATAAATAAATATACTTAATTACTTATGAATTGATTTATATAGATTTATTTTGTCACATAAATTGATTGTTAATACCTGTTGCATAACACTGCATCACCCCATGGTTGACTGTTAGAGAATGGCACCCGGCATTAAGTCCACCTTGATGTACAGAAGTATAATTAATCATCATCATCATTGTCGTCATCATCATCATCATCATCATCATCATCATCATCATCATCATCATCATCATTATTAACCACCTATAAGTAGCCACTGCCGACCAAAGGCCTCTTCTCACACAGAAGGTTCGAGCATAAATCACCACGCTTGCTCAATGCGGGTTGGCGATTTCAAACTTATACCTAATTAGAAATTATAAGCCCAGGTTTCCTCACGATATTTGTTTTCACCGTTTGTCAGTGGTGTTTAAATAATCTTTGAAAGTACATATAGCTCGGAAAGTCACATTGGTATTTGCCGTTGGTAGGTTTCGAACCCGCACTTTTATGCAGAGAAGCGGGGGTCTTAAACCTTCGGGCCACTACGACGCAGAAGTGTAAATAAATAAAATAAATTCTTAAATACAATTTCAGTGGCGACACAGCGACCTGCCTGTACAACTCCCCCCACGAGGACGACTCACTCCCGCGCGTGCTGCCCGGACGACTGCTGACCTTGGACGCTCAGTGCCGGAAGGATCGAGGCACGAGGTGAGATCTATATTAAAATATTTACTTAAATGTTTATTTTATACTGCAACTCCTGTAACAACTTAATTACTGAGTTTTTTTATTCTCTCTGTACATAGTTATTTTTAGTTCATTTTAAGTTGTATTGATCACCTGATGGTAAGCAATCGGCCTCGTCCATGGACACGAACACCAGACGTTACAAGTGCGTTACCGGCCTTTTGGGGATTAGGAATTTGAGGATTGTTGAGGATTCAGGGATTGGGGAGATTGGAGGGCTTCCGATAACTTCACTTACATGACGAAACACAACGCAAGCGTTGTTTCACGTCGTCGGTTTTCTGTAAAGCCGTGGTATCACTCTTAGTTATGTAGGCCCATAGTCTAAGTGGACTGTTACAATCACGGACTGTTGGTGATGATAACATAACGCCTACTCAATTACGGTAATTAAATATAACATAACATCACGCCTTTTATCCCCGAAGGGGTAGGCAGAGGTGCACATTATGCCACTGTACAATGTAACACCCACTTTTCACTATTTATGTTATGAGTCCCATGTAATAGGGGTGAGCCTATTGTCATATACCGGGCGCAATTCCAGACTCCGTGCTATTACTGAGAATTTTTTAAAAACCCAATAATACTTGGCTCGACCCGGGAATCGAACCCGAGACCCCCTAGCCCGGCAGTCGCCCTTGCGACCACTCGGCCAACGAGGTAGTCGGTAACGGTAATTAAGTTTAAATTAATATGAATTGTTATGTTGCAGCGCATGTTTCAAGGACGAGCGAGTGTGTGCGCAACTGTTTTGTTTCGACGCGGCCAGCGGGTACTGCGTCGCTTACAGACCTGCCGCCGAAGGATCGCCTTGTGGTGATGGACAGGTACAACTATTTGTGTATGTATGTATGTACAGTCAAAGGTCAAAACTCCACTGCCACCAGTGATGTTCACACGACAACGCGTAAGTAATTTCATTTTAATGTTAAAAAAAATAAAATAAAAAAAAAATGTGCATAAAACGAAAACGCGTGCGTACGCATAAACACACGCACGCGTACGCACATAGATACAAATATGCGTGTGCATGTGTGTATAAGCGCTGCAGCGCAACCGATAGTAGTCTTATGGTGGCAGTGGAGTTTTGACCTTTGACCGTACATACTTGTATACATATCGTTACGCCTGTGTCTCATTAGCTAAAGACGATAGAATGCCAAACGATATGATTCTATTCTCTCTTTGTTTCATCTGCCTACATGTGTAATTCAAGGACTCTTTCTGTAATATTGTTTCTATGAATTGCAAGTTTTACCTATAGTTGCTTCAAAGGTCTCATCTATATTTCGAGTACAGGACCTAACCAATGACAACGCCCAAGAAGTATTATCTACATAAATATTTTCTTGCTATCCTCCTCATTCTCTCTTGGGTTAACTAAAGGCATATCACATGCTTATGGGACGACGTGCTCCATCGTAGACCGCATTATAGCTTATCACCAGGCGATATAGTGATCAAACGTCGCCCCATCAAATATATGTATAAAAAACATAGTATTTACTTTGTTTCAGTGTTAAAACAATGTACGTATGTTTCAGTATTGTATAAACGGTCGGTGTATAACCGAACACGAGAACATAATCCCCGACTACTCGCAACACACGCCGAGCTACGTGCGGCCGGAGACGAGCCCCTTCTATGGAAATATCACCAGGTGCGTATCATATTTAATGTTACAGGCGTGATAGTTGCTATTCTGAACGGGATAGTTGTTGCTCTGAGTGTGATAGTTATTATTCTAAACGGGATAGTTGCTTCTCTATATGTGATAGTTGCTTCTCTATTTGTGATAGTTGATATACTGAACGGAATAACTGTTGCTGTGTATGAAAGTTGCTATTGATAGACGGGGTAGTTACTGCTAAGAATGTGATAGTTGATATTATGAATGGGCTGATAGTTAGTTACTGCAATGAGTGTGATAGTTGTTAACCTAAATGAGATAGTTGCTATTGGAGATAGTTGTTTCTCTGAGTGTGATAGTTGCCATTCTGAACGGGATAGTTGCTATTTTTAAATGAGATTGTTGTTTCTATAAGTGTGATATCTAGTTGCATTCCTGAACGGGTTAGTTGCTATCTTGTACGAAATAGTAGCTATGATGTATGTGATAGTTGATATTGTAAATGGCATAGTTAGTTACTGTGATATTAGATTTTCACTATTATTTTATTAACTTTTTGTTTAAGACTAAGACTTAATTATACCTAAGTGAAGTTATATTTAAGATTGTAATGAATATAACAATGTTTATAGAACCATACAGCAAAGCACAAACCGACTGAATATAGTCACAGTACTGGCACAGCCAATGAGAAAGCAACACATTCTCATTGCACCCAGTATGTGTACATACGGGAGCACACATGACTAATACTGTATTTCTTTAACACGTAGTAACGATGGAACGACACAGCCGTACGTAGCTAGTACCTCGGCGCCAACCCCACAAACCACAAAATATAAGAGCACAGAATACACTACAACTACAACTAGTACTACAACGACAACCACAACCACAGAGAAACCATACTTCCAGTTCACGACAAGGAAACCATTCCAGTTCTTTACCACTAGAACAACGAGTTCAACACCAACAAGTATCACATACCCACCTCCAGTAAACAAATACTCGATCACATCAACGAAAAGTCCCTACGACTTCAAGGACTTCACGACTCGATCTACTACAACCACTTCGACCACAGAGAAAAGAGGTTTCTACAAAAAGGAGGACTTTGACGGCTTTTTCAGACGATCCACGACGAAAAGTCCGTATCAAGATAAAAGTATAAAGTCCGTTTTCAAATTCGGTACTTATTATTCGCAAGCCAAGTCCAGTGATAACTCTATAAGGCCTGATGCTAATTCGCAGCAAGTTCAAATCGAACCGGCGAGGTTAACGTTCTCGTTTCGAAGGAATATGACTACGGGAGAACTAGTTCGACTCTAAGTTGCCAATATTTGGTAAGAATGGACGATGGAATCATTCTATCTTGCATCGATATCGTACTTCATGCCATGCCCGTCTTGTGAATATTGTCATGGATTTCATTTTCACTATTGGTTTTAGTGTGATTTCTATTTCCTTTAGTTTTTCATAATTATTAGAACAGTAGTTAGACTGTGTGATCTGACCCTATATAACCAATGGTACATTTTTAATCCTTTATATTTTTAATTCAGAATCAGCTCAGCTCATAATTATATCTGGGCTTAAGGCTTAAGACTATTTCAGACCATAGACAAACAAATAGAGTATCTTTTGGGTTTGATGCAAAATTAGAATTTTGATTTGATTTAATTTAAATTTAAATTAACTCTTCTGGGATTTTTATTACTGTCATTTAAGTGCCTGCCTATTACATTTCCGTTTTGGTGAGCACTATATACCATCCATACATGGGCCATATATAATTATCTAATAAAAACGACTGAAACTGAATATCCCTGAAACATAATAAATACCAACTGAAGTCATCATTACTTATGTACAAAATTAAATACTTCTACATTACATTGACTATCTTCCACAACTTCAAACATGGAGACATTTACATTGTACATACTATGATACTATAACTACTCTATTTCTAAGATTTTGTGCATACTCTATATAATATACCTAAATACTGTTATATAAATGTCTGTATTATAATATAAACATGTTCGTTCTTCTTTATATAGTACCTGGTATCAAAGAAATGAGGCCACAGACGTATTTTCTTTTTTTTTGGCAAATATTTTCTGATATATGTATTTATTGTGTCGTATAAAGGGCAATCTACTTAGTTAACATTTAAATAAGAGCATTTAGTTATAAAAGGAATATTTTTTTTTAATTTATAGATTCGATAAAATGAAAAAAGCTAGTGGCTCCCTTTCTTTACTCCCAAGTGTATTTATAATCTTTAGCATGTTTGTTTCAGTTCTTCAGTATTATATTTTTTATTGTAATTATGTAGCTCTATTGTATACAGTTTCCGATATCATTTTCTTCTTGCATTAACCTTTTGAACGCCACTGTCGGATATAGATGACATACAAAATATAGATACGTAGATAAAAATGACTTGTCAGGTATGGCCGATAGTGGCGAATTAGAACAGTTTTTGTTTGTCGTCTATATCTGACAGTGGCGTTCAAAAAGTTAAAATGTGATGGTACTCGATATTTAATGAGTTATTTCTTCTAGCAGCCGCCACTAACGCTAGGAGCGGGCCGAGCCTTGAAGACTGTCTCGCTGGAACGACGCGACTCCCCCAACGACCCAGTAGCGGCGCCTACAAGGGCACAGGGCAGTCCTCGTCCAGTCCCAAACACATTACAGATTGTGAACCGCACACACCCACGTCACGAACAACGACATCACCTCTACAATTCGTATAATTATAATATCAGTGTAATACTCGAACTTAATAGGTAATTTTGGTAGTAAGTAGCTGTAATAAGAGCAAGCAGACCAAGATATTTGCTTGTTTTTATTCCGAAAACTCTTTGACACGCGGGAGTGTGCGTTTTGTGTGTGAAATAAATTGTGTCCGAAGACAATGCTTTATGAAAGTGTCGGACACAGTTCCGTGAGTGATATTACAATGTGATTGTGTTATTAATGAACTTATAAGTACACTAGAATATTAGGAACGTTAGGAGCTGCGTCCAAGTGTGCTGCGCTCGGTACGTCGGTACCCGCTACTTGGACAACGAGAAATACTCTTAGCTTTGAGTTTTAAAGGTTGTAAAATATCATCAATGTTACATAAATAAAAGAAACTGCCACGAAGTGCCTTTCATACAGTAATTATTAAGAAATGTTAAAATAAGATTTATTTTTTTATTTTTTGTTTTAAAACTGACTTCAAGAGCGACTGGTTCGCGGTCTTTTGAAATTAGGTTTACTCTTTATTTTAAGTAAATTTTACATTATACAAAAACTTCAATTGGTTTTTTTGTTCTTATGAAAAATTCAATTTGTTATAATTTAAGCTGTTTTTAATGTCTAAAATTATTTATGAAGAGATATTAAATCTTTAATAAAGTTACCAATAGTGTAAAAGTCTACATTGTAATTCGGTTGTATGGAACATGCCTTTAGGAGAACAATTGTATTGTAACTTGGACATCACTTGCCGTTGATATACCTATTTATTGTATTCAAACTATTTATGTATAAAAGCCTTATAATCCTCCAAAACTGTCTAAATTTTAAGGAAAAAATATAGACAATAACGAATACGAAATCATGCTGTTTTATTTTTTCTTTTCGTAGGCGCCCTCTATCTAAAACTCTACCCAATTACCTACTAGCACAAACATACATTTCAAACAGGACTACCTCTCCGAATTTCATTGAATTTAATTTCCTAGGAATCTACACTAGAACGAGCAAATAGCTTCACTAGAAGACTGACCGACAGACCAGGCAGACTGACATTTTTTTTTCTTTAAATATTTCAATATTTTGTTTTGACGTTCAATACTGCCTTCCTGGAGGCTTACTCTTGAATCCAATTCCGATCGATCAACATTGGTATTGTGAAATTTCGTACCTACTCTGGAGATGCAACACTAGCGCCCATTGCATCCGTATTGCGTGGATATTTAATGAACTAAATGGTATTGAGTTTGCCTTTATATTCTGTACCCTGAATGCTATTTTAACAGTTACGATAAGGGTTGTATACTTTTGACATTGATGAATTATTGGATTGAAATAAATAATTATTATTTTGATTTTGACTTTAAAAAGTTTTAAACCATTTTTGGATTTCCCATAATAGGTAATTAAGATGTTATAATGAAACAAAAATCTAATTCCCAACACCTATTTATTTTGTCACCATTTATAAAAACCAGCTTCAGATTGAGCATTATAAAACTGTTATAAATTAAATTGCTAAATGCAAAACAAGTGAACACATACTATTGCGCTTAGGGGTGTGCGCACAATGCAATAAACTACAAAATATACAAAAATAGTGTCATACATAGACTTCAATGCACACCATGAAAATCAGTCGTTAGGTACACATTTATTATCAAATGAAAAAAAATACAACATTCTTTGAACCAAAAACACGTACAGTACCCGGCAATGAATATTGCACATTGACTTTTGGAAAGGGTCAATTTTATGTAGTACCTATTACGATCATTTATATTAAAAACTTCTTTTTCAACCTTTTATTGATTGATTGAAACTCGACTAATTTTAACGACAACGTGACCTACTGTCTCTTTCCAAAAGTCGTCGTGCAATATTTATCTCCAGGCACTGTAATAAATATAACTTATTTCATGGTTTCTCTTAAAAATAAGAACCTTTCTTCACTCAAGATGTTGACAACACATCTATCAAACTTTTTATGAGAAATATGCCCGAATACTGAAACGCTACTATTTTTTTTTCTTGAATGGCAATCGCGTCTCCCATAGTGTTGTCGACTATACTGCCAGTGTCAAGTGGTGACGACAGTTTAATGAACCGTCGAATTTTAACTTTCTGGTAGTTGTTATAACATAACATGACATCACGCCTTTTATCCCCGAAGGGATAGGCAGAGGAGTACATTATGCCACTGTACAACGTAACACCCACTTTTCACTACTTATGTTATGAGTCCCATGTAATAGGGGGTGAACCTATTGCCATATAGTTGTTATGGTAGTTGTTAGCAACTGGAAATTTTAAGTCGTGCTTAAATATCTAGCCATTTCTTTCATTTTACAAAGAATTTGTTGTGACAGAACTATACTTAAGCGCGACTTCAAATTGTCATTTCAGTATTCGGGCATTAGGGACTAAAAAGGTTCAATCATAGAGTTTTGTTAGCCTTTAGAAGCTATAGCAGATGGAGCGCTGACATGTTTGAATACTATTTTAGCAAGCATACCGACTGACATGCAGAACACAAGACCGGCTGGCATGAACTTCCTGCTGTTGTAATACCTGCAATTAAATTTCAACTTATTTATATTTCCTTCTGGTAATTGTGTTATTTTTAATTGGTCAGTTGGAGGTACTTCGGATATAATAAAATGGAAATAAGGAATAAAAAACCTTTTTGATTTACCTTCAATAAACTGATTCTACGATTTCTCGAATAGTGTAGATACATAGGTGTACTATAAAAATACAGTGTGACTATGATGAGAACTAGTCTTACTATATATTATTAGTAGCTACTTCTACGCTCTGCTCGGCGCCTATTGATCGTGGAGTGTTTTTTGTAACCTTCTTCGACAAATGGGCTATCCAAAACAAAAATAATTTTACAAATCGGACCAGTAATTCTTGAGACTAGCGCATTCAAACAAACAAACTCTTCAGTTTATACAGGGTGGAAAATTGTAATGCCACCTGATGGTGAAACTCTTAACTTTAAGTGCTTTAACCATTGAGTCAACTATCTATATATATAAAATTCAAAGGTGATTGACTGACTGACTGATTGACTGACTGACATAGTGATCTATCAACGCACAGCCCAAACCGCTGGACAGATTAGGCTAAAATTTGGCATACAGATAGATGTTATGACGTAGGCATTCGCTAAGAAAGGATTTTGATAATTTCCACCCCCAAGGGGTTAAAAGAGGGGATGAAAGTTTGTATGAGACTTTGTCAGTTTTAAACCGATCGGGTTGTAATTTGGCATGCAGATAGATGTTATGACGTAAGCATCCGATGTGAAAGGATTTTGATAATTTCCACCCCCAATGGGGGTAAAATAGGGGATGAAAGTTTGTATGAGACTTTGTCAGTTTTAAACCGATCGGGTTGAAATTTGGCATGCAGATAGATGTTATGACGTAAGCATCCGCTGTGAAAGGATTTTGATAATTTCCACCCCCAAGGGGGTAAAAAAGGGGATGAAAGTTTGTATGAAACTTTGTCAGTTTTTAACTGATCGGGTTGAAATTTGGCATGCAGATAGATGTTATGACGTAAGCATCCGCTTTGAAAGGATTTTGATAATTTCCACCAAGGGGGTAAAATAGGGGATGAACGTTTGTGTGAGGCTTTGTCAGTTTTACACCGATCGGGTTGAAATTCGGCGTGCAGATGGATATTATGACGTAAACGTCCCTTTAGAAAGGTTTTTGAACATTCTCACCCCAAAGTATGATACTTTGCCAGTTTTAAATTGATCGGGCTGAGACTTTGCATGCATAAAGTTACTATGACATAGGTATCTCTTTAGAAAGGATTTTGATAAATTCCACCCCTAAGGGGATAAAATAGGGAATGAGAGTTTGTATAAATCTTCTTAGCCGTTGAATTTAGAATCATTGAATCTTTTTGAATTACATTCGGTAAAACGATGATTTGGGACCTGGGTAACGTATGATAGTTTTTTCACAGATGTCTCACGAGAACGGGAACTATGCGTCAATGCCCCAGGACTCTCTAACTCTTAACCATTGAACTTATTCTAGAGAGATTAGGTACAACAATAGTCGATAGAATAGTTTTTATTACTCAAACCTTACGTGATCGGGCACTGTACTGGTAAGATCCCTGCGGGATTATTTATTTATTGAAACTACGATAAATCATTTCAAAATAGGTAAATCTTACTTGGGCACTGAATTGATTCTGGTTAATTCTGTCAGAAGTCATTAATCTATGCGGACGAAGTCGCGGGCAACAGCTATCTACACATATAATAAATCGTAGAAAAGTCAAAACTGTACATTGAATATTTTTTAAAAGAATATTTGAAGCGTGATCTCTAATCGATACCGAAGCCAATAATGTGGTTTTTAGAATTTTTGTCTGTTTGTCTGTATGTATGGCCGTGATGATCTCAAAAAGTACTGCACTACTATTTCAAATTTTGCATGAATATTACTAACAAGTCTGGTAAACATATAGGCTAAATATTATCACGGTATCATCTACGGGACTGAATCAATTCTGATGACATCCATTACCGTAGAAATCCCTTGATAAAAACTAATTCAAAAGCCTAAATTCTGCCAGAAGTCATTATTCTACGCGGACGAAGTCGCGGGCAACAGCTAGTTGAATTAATAATTTAAGATTTCATTGTTTTCTTTACATTCAATTTATGAAGCTTGCTAAAGAAATTTCATCCTTATTGACCCTAACGATCGATGCAAGTCGCGGAGAACCTAACGGGTAACCGGGGCTCCGGCTCGACGTGCAGGAGAAGGAACGGGGTGGTTTTTAGTCAGTTAAGAGTCTGACATTCCCTCCCGCCTCACTCAGACGGGAGTAGTAATTCGATGATTTTCCCCCCTTAAAAAAAAAAAACGATCGATGCAATAAAAGTACAGTATGCAACTTTTACAGATTTTAGTTAGTAGTTTTAGTTAACAGGTTCGATTACTTACTGTGTGCGGCAAGCGAGTGAGTTTTTAAAAATATTCGAATGCCGTTTTCTTTCTTTTAAAAAATAATGGAATGTTTTCTTTGAGTAAAATCTATCTAAAGTACTAAGAGTACTTCCCCTTAAAAAAAAAGTATAAGATAAGATAAATGCGAAAGTTTGTGTATTTGTGTGTATGTTTGTTTCTCGATCACACAAAAAACGGCTGAAGAGATTAGGGTGAAATTTGAAAAAGGGGTAGAGTATGGCATGGATTAACATATATAGACTACTTTGTCCCACGAGAACGCGGGCAAAGCCGCGGGTTAAACCAAGTTACATAAAAAATAAACTGTTAAGTTTAGTGATATTTTGGTACCTGTATCCCATGAGACCTCCCAGAGCGGATGTGGTGCCCAACATCAGAGTGTAGTTTGAGGGATCCTGGCTCAGCTGGTAAGCGCCAACACCTAGAAAAATTGATTTAAAAAATAAGTGCCTAATTACTTTTTAATCGATTTCAAAAAGTAGAAAAATCTCTGTTGGACCTGTATGTACGTGTTTGTGCGAGATTATCTCGCGATTGGCTGAACCTATTTTGATGTAATTTTTAGAAGTGTTTGTTACACTTAGAAGGTTTTAGTATATTAATTTAACCGACTTCAAAAAAAGAGGTTTAAGACGGGTTTTTAAACATAGTTTATAAAAGAATTATTTATTACCTACATAAAATAAACGCGGAATGCTGCTAATGAATATGAGCCTCTAGCATGGCTTGAAACTAGTCGAGCTTCTCGTCGAATTATTACGTGAGTAAGCCGAAAAACATAATAATTAATTTACATAAAACAAGGTTCATTAAGCCATACCATAAGCCGCGTTATAGTTATTTTTTATTAATTTAGGAATGATTTCTCTAACTGCGAAACCAATTCCTTTTAACCATAGCGCTGTCTAAGCCTTAAGTTAACACGTTGAACGCTATAGGGGTCACCGGTGACCGGCGTTAGCGGAGGATTTACCTTCAACAGTTTTTTTATTGGCAGTCAAAGTCTTAATAGTGTTTTGTCTTACCTAGGATCGATCCGAAAATGAGTCCAGCGCCCAAAGAAGGTATGGATCCTGAAATTAAAATAAAAAGTAAACAATTAAGTTTCACAAAATAGACTTCAATGCTGAAAGAACATAAAATGATTTGGTTCAAAATATTAGGTATATTTATAACATTAGTTTCATGGAGTTTCTTGCTCCTACACCTTGGAATGATGATGCAAATAGCTTTACTTTTAAATTGTGTTGTTGACGTTCAAAAGTGCCTTCCTGGTCTAATTGAAATACATGATTTTGATTTGTGATTACTAAAAATAAAAGTCCTAACTAGTAGCTTCGAGACTTAGACCTATTGTTCACGTTGCGTCATTCGACGAATGTATGCATTCGTCAAAAATGAAATTTAACGTTCCCGCTTCTTTTTTTTTTATGACAGATCATCAGATGGGAAGCAATCGGCCCATGGACACCTGGAACACCAGAGTGCGTTACCGGCCTTTTGGGGATTAGGAGTTTGAGGATCGTTGGGGATTCAGAAATTGGGGAGGTTGGGGAAGGGGAGGGTAATTGGGCCTCTGGTAACCTCACTCACACGACGAAACCCAACGCAAGCGTTGCTTCATGCCGGTTTTCACTCTATCACTCCGGTCGAGCCGGCCCATTCGTGCCGAAGCATGGCTCTTCCACACTTATAACTTCGTGGACAGTTTTCATTGTTCCTAAACAAGATGCAAGCATTTATCATTAGTAGGCCGCATATTGTTTGTGAAGGATGCATGTATTCGTCAAATGACGCAACGTGGACAGTTACCCTTAGTTGGGGTATTTTTATTTTCGCGAAAAGGCTGCTATTTGAATCTTCTAAACATAATTTTTCGTCAAAACAAAGCATTCTTCTCAGTTAGGTATATAAATTGCTCCACATAAGAAAGGTGTTAAAATTGTTCAACACCAACATAAAACATTGAGCAGTATAATTTAACGCAGATAACAAATAATGGTAATTATAATCAAACAATACTTGTACAAGTAATTGTAAACTACATGAGCATGTGCATGTTAATAGTAAATTAAACAAACCTATTGAATTTAAATACAATAGTGTTTTCAGTGTTAAGTCTACACATCGGTAAAGTATCGTACGTAGCTTATAACTTATCTTTAAGATGTGACATTCAAATTACAATCTTATGACCTTGACTTTAAGACCCTGTTTAATTACAACAATTTCAAGTTTTTTGACACAGCTGGTAATTGTATACCTAATTAGTCATTCCGTTGGCTGTTTCTGATATTTTTTGCAATATGTGAGTGGAAATTGTCGCTACACAGTTGCTACCTACATGTTATTTTGACAAAATAAAACAGATTGACACTGTTTGTGGATGTAATAAAACAAACTATTTAATTGAACAAATTTTATTTAACTTAGCAGATAGTCTTACTGAAAAAAACAAATAGAGAAAATGTAGTTGAATTGTCACAGATCAGAAGAATTATTTTCAAAATTCTAATTGTAGTAATAGACTGAAAGCAATACAAACGAGATAGGATAATAAATAGGTCTTTACCTATGATGTACTACGTAGCCGTATTGTATGAAAAAAATGTATTTTTTACTTGTATCAATCGAAGTAATAATATATAGTAATGCATATTTGCCAACGCAGCGGCAGTTTATTGACGCCCTTCTTAAAGAAATCAGCTGGACGGGAGGTAACAAATTATTCAAAGGCATTTTGTACTGCCTCTCGGGTATTGTATTTTTTCCCGCTAAGAAGTTATCCAAATTCTGGAAAAAGTTGATCAATGATGACGAAAAAAAACAATGAAATGAGATGAAAGTGTAACACTAATAAATGAACAAAATATGACTAACTGCTTTTGGAAAAAAATCATGTATTTAAATTAAAATTGATTTGAAATTAGAAATCTTAGTCAAACAAAAATTATTTGAAATGGCCAGTACTGCAGAACGACAATTTGATAGGTCACCTAATCGCCTAATAATAATTATTGTATTCATGACCAGACGGAGACCATGACGGATCACCTGAATTTCAGGTGTTCATCTAGAGCTGTTCGCTCATACAAATTATCTACACAATACTTTTCTTTATTAGAGGATGAGCAGATACAATTTGGGGACGAATTGACTACGACACTATACATTCAGTGTATAAATACATAGAATGTCTCTACCTCTATAGACACAAGTGTCTGCAATTAGAAAATTTATTGCGACACGGTAATTAGTGTCGCAACAACTGCCGGCTTATGACCCTTAGAAGTGTGAACAGTATAGACACTAATGTCTGTCTGTCATATATGTCATAAAGTGTTTAAGTGTGGGAGAGCCATGCTTCGGCACAAATGGGCCGGCTCGACCGGACTGATACCACGGCCTCACAGAAAACTGACGTGAAACAAGGCTTGCGTTGTGTTACGTCGTGTGAGTGAGGTTACCGGAGCGCGGAGGCCCAAATACCCCATTCCCTAGTTCCCTTCTCCCGAATCCCCGAATCTTCCAATTCCCAATTACGAAAAGGCCGGTAACGCCCTTGTAACGCCTTGGTGTTTCGAATGTCCATGGGTGGCGCCGATTGCTTACCATCAGGTGATCCGTCTGCTAGTTTACCGGCTTATGCTATAAAAAAAAAAATAATTTGTGTCGTAGCCTATTCATACTTCTATAGATTGCATGCAGTTGCTATATGGGCTAGAGCCATCCCTACCTACCTCACAGTATGTACGTATGTTGAAGAATGTCCAATAATCATGACCATCTAGAAAATATTTACATCATACATATCATTCCGTTTTATCATAATTAGCATAATAATAGAATGTTATTGATAACAAGTTGTGTTATTAATAATACCTGTACTCAATTCTTATGTAAAGAGTTTTTATTAACACCAAACAATGGTTAATTAAGTTGGATGAATGTATTCATTAATTATAAAGTTGCTCTTTAACTGTATTTTAATTATGAATTAGTCTGGTATTTTACTTAAGTGAGTGCCTTGTCGGCTCCGGAATGACTCTAACCCAGCAATTAATTTGTCCTTTCAATATGAACTTTAAATTGTATGTCGTATGGCATATTTCATAAGTTAAATACAAAAGGTGTCTTTTTGTATTGTTGCCGAAGCAAAAAAACCGTGCAGGAGCCGTGCTTTTTATGCACTATGACCTTAGACCCTACCCCATTCTAACTGCTGCTACGAGCCAGACCCCGGTAACCCTTCTGGTTCTCAGCATTTTATACTATAACTACCTACTGCAGTGTGGTTTCACCCGCTACTTGACTCGTATTGGTCATACCATGATGTTCAAACGAACATAGAAACTCTTTAGCTTTTTATATAATAAAAAATTAAAGATAATATTAAAAATTTTTATTCTGTAGTATCAACCCGGGCACCTGGAACCGGATATACCCGGGTATTTGAGACATTTTTTAAATATTCGGGTGCTATTTTGTTCTGCCACCAATGTTCTCCGCGTAACGTTAGGTAGAACTGTTGTTCCAATATACTGCACGGTTGGCGCGGTGGTTGGGCAAATGACTGCTTTCTCCTGTGTTGCGGATTTGATTCCCGCACAGAACAAATCTATGTGTAATCCACAAATTGTTGTTCTGGGTCTGGGTGTATGTAAACCCACGACACAGGAGAAAATCATAGTTTGGAAGGCAACATTTTTTAAAGAAAAAAAAAAATTAATGATTATGTTACTTCTCTTTTTTTCCGACTTTATTCAAATATTTATTATTTGCAAAAAACAAACTAACTGCCAATCTCAAAAGAGAGAAGAAAAGAAATAATCAGTATAATATGTACTGAAGGTCAGGTATATGCGAAAACACTAGACCGAAGTCAAAGGACACATACCATGTAACACCTATTTTTCTCTACTTATGTTATGGAGTCTTGTTATTTGACAACAGACCACTATAATTGGGTACTACAGCTTATATCTTCAGAAAAAAAAGTATGACTTTACAAAGAGATAAAACGCACAATAAAAGTTCTTAAAGGAACTTTAGTACAAAATTATGATGTTATAATGCATAATTTTATCAATGTATTGGAATAATCAATAGGAATCCTTCTAGATAATATATAATTAAATTCACAGTAGTCATTTGAAACATGTAAGTCAGCCCAGACTGCAAAATATTGGTGATTCAATATTATTATTTGTAAAAACATCAATATGTACCCATATTTGTGCAAATAAATAATTAGAATTGAAATTTGAAAAAAAAAACATAATAACAATATACAACACAGATCTGTTATCAAAATACATAGCATGATATTATCTTCTAGGTCTTGTATTGATGACTGAACATAATCAGCTTCCGCCTATTGGATAAATTTACGATAGGTGCACAAAAAAGATAATAGCACTTATCAAATTTATTTTCAGGTGATTACATAAAAGAATAAAATAACTTTGTCATAACTACAAAATAAATACACAATTTACATACTTCTAGAAGATTACCAATAGACATTACCTATGTTCGGTACTTTAGTTTTTAAAATATGCGAAGGAAATGATTTAGTAAAAAAAATAACTAACCTGCTTTCGCGTAACCCATAATGCCGCCAGCGGCAACAGTAGCAGCATAAGCGAAGCTCAAAATATCGACACCCATTTTGTTATTTCAATTGAAAGATATTTTCTCAAAATATTTTTATACTTTCCAAGCAAAGTTTATTAAATTTTATAAGTTCAACAACAATACGTGCTTCTTCTATCAGCTGAGTTGAAGTTTCGTTTCTGTCATCACTTCACGTCATTTTTATTCACTTCATCTGACATTGTCACCCAGTGTTGTTAATAGCACAGAGTATTATTAAAAAAGTATTGAATTTTTGATTCAGAATTCACAGTTCCTCAGCAAGATTGAACAGCGGTAGCATACATTCATTTCTATTGATATTCAGATATCTACAAAAATTAAATGCTCTTCACAACTACTACGCATCAATAACAAATACAACTGTGTTCTCCAAAGTGCAAATCAGATCACTGTGATTTTTAAATTAATTATTTTGTTGAATAGGTTATTGTACTAAATCATCCCGCGTTTCTAGTAATTGAAAATTTGAAATTTGAAAAAGTGCCGCTTCCACTTTCAAGCTCAACTCACAAAATACAACAAATATAAAGCCATTGTTACATCCACAAAAGATACTTCTTTTTTTTCTCAATAGTGTATTCTTTGCTTTTGCTGTGCTGTCACTTTTCTTGTCACATTGTTTTCATTTCTCAAATCCAATGTCATGAATTAATCAATTTTGACAGTTCGTTCATGATAGAATTTTAATCAGAAAAATGAAAATTTCCTAAAATTACAGTTTTGCCGACTCATTATTCAATTGCCATATCTTCGGCAACCTACAAAATAACCTCACAAAAATGTTGCCCTAACCGTGCTAGACTATTTCGTCATACTTTGCAATACGTCACAGATACAACTTCCACAGCTGATTGTGTATAAAATTATGAGTTTTCGTGTGCAAGGCCAGTATTCAGTCGTTCCTAGTCGCCGATAGCGGTCGACTGCGCATTCGGATTACAAAAATATTGAGCTTCGAGTATTTTTTGTGTGTGTGATATTGGCCGGTAACCTTGGCTGTGTGCGAGGCCGCGAGTACCTAATACAAATAAAAAAGTTAATCTAGTTGGTCACGATGTTGAAGACGGCGTCTAAAGTGACAATAAATACCGGCAACGTGCTGAACTTGATCGACATCAAGAAGAAGGCTGGACAGAATGTGACCGAGGAGGTTAGATTTATTTTTATAATAATATCAAGGATGTTTTAGTAATACATAATTACTCATACATACTGTAAATACTAACTTGAATTACATCACCTATGCTCTCAAATGCATACACAGCATTTTTGCATTGCTGTATTCACTCACATTAACTCGTCGAGTACCGGTTTTGTAGACACAATTATAGAACAATAGGTTGCGGTCACCGGTGACCGCTTGGTGTTTGACGGTTTAAGTTAGTTCATTTGAAGTATGGTTAATTATCCATTTATCTTAAATCTTTCAAGATAATATGAGTAGGTACTAAATTAAGTGGCTCTTCATATTTAACATAAAGTATATTTTTATGTTCAAGATATCATGCTTTTTGCTTCATTTTATGAAGTCATTTTGTCACATTTTTATGGGTTAATTGATAGTGATTATGATATTTGAATAGATTAGGTAACTTTGATATATTTTCTTATTTTTGAAATAGTTAATTTATTATCTTGGTAAACATAGGCACTTATGTTATTCTGGAGAGGATATCTTATATGATCTTTAACTCAAAAACTGTAATTTTACAAATTCCCCTTAAAATAACCTAAACAAATGACATACTACAAAATAAGTTTTAATTAGAAAAGGTACCAAGTTACTGCAACAACCAGCACAAATGACACTTTAATGTTTTTGACTACTATTATGAATTAAAATACAAGTTTATATAAGAATTGTATTATAATTAATAATTACCTATTACTTAACTAAACTTTATTATGCTGCCCTTTCAACATACTATATGAAATCATGATATAAATAAAAATAAAAAAAAATCTTTATATTGTCAAAAATACTCTACAGATACAAATTATTTAAGACATTACAATTATGAGACTGGTATCTGTTAAAGATAGAACCTGGTTACAGATTGCCAAGCCTGGGTGACCCCAGAGACATTAAATCAAATCATAACTAATCTTTAGTAGGTGCCTAAGTACCTTACCAGTTTTAATCTGACAAAATAATAAATCTATCTGTCTAACTATAGTATCAAACAATATATTTAATCAATAACTTCCTACATCAGTTGTTGTGATAACACACATATGACATGTGATACCAACACACTACATTTACTTATAAGTTCTAAGAGGAAATATTTGATTGTTCGTTTGTTTATATTGAATAGGCTCTGAAATTACTAGACCAATTTAAAAAAATTGTCCTCATTCCAAAGTTTACTGTTCAGTGACAGGGAGTAATACAGGCTAGATGTTATCCCAATATTCCAATTAGGTTTTGATTTGGAGACTAATTAGTTGCAAAATGTGGGTGAAGTTATTTCAGTGTATTGACTCAATTAGTCATTAAATAGTTGCCAGTCATGGCAACTATTAAACATTTTCCTTATCTCATAGTTATAAATATATATATATACTATATAATACTATACAAACTGGTTACAACACCACAGATTATTAAGTAATAAAATTTAAAAAGATTTCATTCATACATTGTTATGAATGGCAATTAACATCTTGGATGACTGTAATCTGTGGAGACTGTTACTGTTTTTTTTTTATTTATTATAATATACTGTACCTTCCAAAAAAATAAAGTTAATTTGATAGTTAGAATTAGGTTTAAGGGTCTATTTTTTAAACCTTAGCTAAACTTAATCCTTGAAATCCTTCTTCATTCCAATTCTTCTTTAAGTGCAAGAAGGTAATTGTGATTATGTTTTCATTATCCGTTAGTTTTCATTATTTGTCTGTAACTACATACTTCCAACATTTAAAAAGAAACGAATTATGAATGTTACTTACTCATGGACCCTACATTTCTTCCCTGGAATACAGGAACCTGTAACTAGACATGAAAATTGTAATTAACTAAAACGAAAACCCTGATGATAGCTATATGGTATTCTAGGTGACTATCTATGTAGTACCTACCCATTATAAGATGCCAGAATACACACACATTCATCATCGAAAACGAAAATAAAACTTCCTTAATATTATAAATGTGTTAGTTTATGTATTTGTGTGTATGTACGTTTGTTACTCAATCACGTCAAAACGGCTTTAGGAATCGGGATGAAATTTCGGAATCTGGATAGATTATGGTCTAAAATAATGCTTAAGCTACTTACTATCCTAAGAAAATGTGGGTGAAGTCGCAGGCAGAAGCTATAAGTTACATAAATTTTCCTTAACAGGACTGACTCATGAATAATAGTTAATGAGTTGTGAATGGATGTAAAACAATAGGTGTTGGTAATAAATTTATTTATTTATTGTGTTTGCCTTGTACACAATATTGTACACATGGTGACTTAGATCAAGGTTAAATTGTACTATAGCAAAGTTTAGTTAGAAAATGTATTCAATATTATAAAAATATAATTATGGAAAATCAATTTATTAAAAAGATGATGAAAAATGAAGGTTAATGATAAAGCAAGCCTTATTACATTCACTTTTGAATAGGAACCTTCCTCTTAGGCCATAATTCTTGCACTAGACAGGCAGCTTTGAGGACGCAGTCACGTCATAAAAGGTTTAAAGTTTCGAGGTCTGTAACTCTTGAAAGGATTTGGCTGCCCTATTGGTCTACCAAAGGTAGCCAAATCTTGGGGGGGTCGAATCCTGCACAAATAAGGTCCCTAAAAATTATTCCCTAAAGCTACACAAGTGCTTTAAGAAATTGGATTACTTATGTGCCCAAAAGAAATACAGTTTGAATTATCTTGTTTGCCATATAGATGGCAGTTTTGTGACTAAATATTAAAAAAATTGTTTTGTGTAGTAGGTAAAGTATGTACCTTCTTCACACATATTATGTAAATTATAGCTAAACCATTATTCAAGTCATACTATGACATGACAGTCAATATTTTGCTCAATAACTAGTTTGAACAAGTACCTGCCTACAAGTTTTTATATAAAATTATACCTTGATCCTCTTTTTCATAAATGAGATGGCACTTATTTATTGAGTCGTGATCTGTTGGTATGCTAAATTCCGTCCAAATCCGTACAGTAATATACATATCAAATATTCACAAATATCCATCGTTCCAGGTAGCATTTTTTTTTAAAGGGGAAAATCATCGAATGGCTATTCCCGCCTGCCCCGATAACCCGTTAGGTTCTCCGCGACTCCGATTTAAAAAGGATGAAAAGGACATAGGATAAAAAGCTAACAAAGTATTCTATAAGAAAACCACATTCAATTCTGTTCACTCATTTAGGAGCTACCATACCATAAACAAACAAACAGGCAGACAACAAACTCTACATCGATCTTTTTAAACGGTTTTATACCTACGTCAAAGACAATATTTAAAAAAAACCATAGAACATTGTTAAGTGATAAAAAAGAGTATTTATAAAATATTATCGGCACTCTGTAACACATACTATGTGGATGACGTCACTGCTATGACTGTACTATTTATATATTTACTTCGTAAAGTTCAACACTAATGACTAGTAAAACGCAACGTCATGGTGCTTCCATATGTTTCGACTAGAACTTACGTTATTATAAAAACATTGTCAGTCATATCCGTATCGATTTAAATTTTAAATGTCATTTAAAAAAGCATCATCGATGTTTTGGTATAGATTATTCTTTATACTTTTTTAACAGACAGCAAATAAAGGTTCTGGTTCTGACGTATCAACTGATGGTAAGCAAGCGGCGCCGCGCATGGACCACGCACGCAACACTTTTTTTTTTATATTTTATTTAGTTTTTTTTTTAACATCCACACATTACTAAGTATGGGAGTTACAATGCGTTGCAGGTAGCGCAGGGGTTAAGAACCATCTCGTTTTTCGCAACCTATGGAACAAACAGGAGTCCTCTTCGTTAATGCCTTTCGTTTTCGTTAAACCTTTAGTTAATGCTTACTTGCATATTTCTACTGGCAGTTCAGAACATTTTTTTCCTATATTTGTACAATGATGTCATAATCCGCATTGTGATAATTGATAGCGCTATCATGAATGTGCACCCGAGGTGGTAAATTTTATCGTATCATTTTTAATATCTAATCATCTACGAGTGGTCTTATTTATTGAATGTCATCATAACTGTTGTTTAGGGAACTTATTATTTATTTTTAGCCATGATCGATCACTCACTGCAGGGCAGAGGCCTCTTTGCACTCTTCTCTATGTAAAGCTTTTTGCGGCTAATCCTTTCCATAGATGTCCAATTCGCCCTGTAATTTCTTTTTTGGGCCTGCCGCGACGTCTATCATTCATATCATTTTACACGTTGCTATTACGCAATGTTGTATCATAATTTGTAGAGTTGTAGTAGGTACCTAGACGTGTATTAAACATGATTGGCAGCACTCGTACGGCTACCAATGTTCATACTCAAAACATGTTTTTGCTAGTCATGATAAACCTGCATCAATCGTAGCTCGTAGCATCGCCATTCACCACACAAGTCAAAACATTCATGTTTCCTAAACTTTGCTATTGGATTACCACTTGCGAATGTTATCGAACTGATAAATCGGTTCTCCTTATTTCCAAAGCCTGTAGGCCTGTACATTATACTGTCAGCTACACAGATCTACATAGAAGTTCGTACCTCAGTCCAAATTAGAAAGACGAACGTCCTGTACTTCTAAAAGGGTCCAACCCATTCAGGTTGCTTTATATAGGTGTACTGCATCATCGGTCACATCATCGCCAACCACCAGGCTTTTTTTTTTTTAGGGGGGGAAATCATCGAATGACTGCTCCCGCCTCGGTGAGGCGGGAGGGAGTGTCAGACTCTTACTGACTAAAAACCACCCCGTTCCTTCTCCTGCACGTCGAGTCGGAGCCCCGGTTACCCGTTAGGTTCAGGCTAGTTGCTGGCCAAGTGGTGACCTATTCAGTAGATGTAAAATAAAGACAAATGTTTAAGTGAAACAAGTGAATTTATTTTTGCAAATAGCCTACGAGGTAGCAATTTTACTCGTCAATTTTACAAGTGAACGATGAGGTCGATATGTTGAACAATGTGGTCGTTCGATGCTTGGTACCTACCTACCTACCTAGTATCGCTAATATCGTGAACTGTACCTATACCGGTACTAATGACTAACTATGTAACAGTAAAACATGCCTATCATGCACTGTACTATTGAATTTATATCCATTCAAATTAAACACGGAGCATTACTTCGTTACACACACGAACAAAAGTTTCATGGTGATTCAACGCTGAAAGATAAAACCGTGTTCCTTCAATGCGCATGTGTAAACATCGAATGTAAGACAATGTGTGTTGTTACTGTATATTGACGTCATAATACATATGTCATAGTCTGTTTCCTTGCTACAATGAGTATTGAGAAGGAAAGTCCTTATTTCTCATCTATTATTCTAATTTATCAATTTTCCCGGCTTAATAGCTAAAAGGGTTTTCCAAAATAACAATTATGGTTGGTATAGGAACTGACTTCCTTTTCTTACACATTAATTATTCATGTGATTACTACTGCTCATGAGTAGTTAATTGAATAATACGTCAGGAGACAGTAATGATGACATGATAGTTTCCAGTTAGTCACGTGCCCTGTGCTATAAGGCCACGTCATCTCTTCATTTCATTCTGAACTGACTAATTCATGTCACTAAATAGTCGGCTTATTTTTAAAAACTCTCGAAACAAACATCATCACTTACCTACCTAAAATACAAAAAAAAACAGCCCCAAATATATTTTTTAACCTGTTTCTTATCATGCCAAATACCTACAGATACATTCGAAACCACACAACCTAGCTAATTTAAAACAAAGAATTTTCCAATAACCATTTTCTTCTCTAGCTTTCAGAGAGCATCAAACTAACTCTATCGGAATGGGGTACTCAAAATGGCGTCCCTGTACAAAATGGCGTCGGCCCACCTCCAGGAGGTCATCCACAGACCTCACATCGCCACTCCGACTACAAAGTGATGACGGCATCCGCTGCAGCAGGCTCTGAAGCGGTGATCAACATCACGAGGCCTCACGATGACGTACAAATCAAAATGGCGGAAGAAGAACGCAAGAATTTGAAGATTGGAGTCAAGATTTTTATCAATGAAGACAGTACTACGGCCTTGACTGAGTGCTTGGAGAACGGTGAGTCTTTTACTGGTTTATTTAGTTTTACCTGACCTGATGTTTATCTGTCTTTAGTCAAACGACTGCTGACAAAAAAAGCTAAATCTTTAACTTCGATTAATAGTTACTGGCCGCGATAGTAATAGACGTGCTGTCGAAAACAATGAATTCTTCAATCGCTGTCTTTGTCAGTCTACCATACCCTTTGTCGGCTTATTTATAAAATAACTGTTAACAACCGATGTACTACCGACTAGACTATTTTATACTCAACCTCAGAGTATGTCAAAAGGGACGCAGAATATTTGTATTAGCACAATCGTGATAATTTGATGTGCATATAAACTTTGAACGAAACTATATAAATGTCGATAACACATTGTCCAAATATGTGCCCTAATACGGAAAGAATTGCGATGTCTGAGAATGGCGCTATATTATTTCTAAGTACATACTGAACACTAACAGTCAAGGTTTTAGATTAGGCTCTCTCTCGCTCTTAATATTGAGCCAGGATTATATTGTAAGGATTGTTATGTAAGACATTGAATACTTTATCGTACGTTCACATGCCTTTTGCATTACGTACCTAAAAAAGAAAAAATAGTGATGCTCTGCCTTTATTATAGCTACAAAACTGACTGATCAGTTACTAAACTTTTTTTGTTGTAATTCCTTTTTTAAAAAACCTAAACTTATTTTAGGCGCCGAACTGATTGCGGCAAAAGATTACAGTTCATTTGATGACTGCTATAGAGTCGTTGATAACAAAACACGACTAAACCTAATCAGTGCATGCATTGATCACTTATGTAGATAGATTACTACTGATTACAACAGCTGTGATTTGTTTGTCCTATCTATACAGGAAATTGACGGTCCTTACCGTTGAATAAATATAGGGTATTAAAATAGTGAATAGACAGTTTTTGCGCTTCGTAGATGGCGCTGGTGATGAATAATAGTTCTGTTTGTCTAAAAGTTGGTGGAATAGGTCGCATTACGATTAATTAAAGATATTGTTTCCTAAAGAAATTAGATGAAGAAAAAGAAGAAGAATTTCTTTCATGGTTGATTTATTAACCGACACGGTAGCTACTAGCTGTCCGTATACAAAATTCAGGCCAGTTATTTAAGTACTTCATAATTTGATACTAAGGCAAATGAAAATTACTATTTTGATATCTTACCTTACCTTACTTACTTAAATTATTATTTTACCAGTCCACATGAATAAATCATGTTTCTGAACAAATGAGTCCATTGTCCTTGTCTCTCCTTGGTTAACAGACTGTCATTGTCTGTCTACACTGGAAATTAATGCTCTATTAACTAATTGCTTGGCTAAATGGCCTCCTCGTTTACTATTGAAACTCCATAATACATTAAACTATGTCCACTATACATAGTAGGTATACTTTAATATTTTATATATTTTACACATTTTTATAGGTACTACAGATTTCGTAAGACATACTAAATTAATTAAATTATGATTTTCGGCTTACTTTTATGACAAGGAACACGACTAGTTTCAAGTCGTATTAGAGGCGACACACGACGCGGCGACTGCTAAACTCATAGCAGAATGCTGCTCATGAATATGAACCTCTAGTATGGCTTGAAACTATTCGAGCTTCTTGTCAAAGAGTTTCGTGAGTAAGCCGAAAAACATATTAACTAACTTTGTATTTTAGACATGTTTGTCATCATAAGAATCAGTCCCTATTACTTCTGGACTGGGGGTGGGACTTCAAAAGAGGGTGTTACATTTTATGCACACCCCTGTCTACTTCCTGTCTTTTATAAGTAGCTACATTATATAACAGATAATACAACTCAATAAAACAATTGTATCTATATTTTCCGACGATATAAAGATGTCTTTTTGTTTTGACACTTACCAACGATAATTCAGATTTTTATCGCAATGCCTTCAGTTTTCCTGTTTTCTTTGAATAGTATTCTGTTTCACATAACAACGACGAAAATTAAAAAAAAATACACGAAGTTTGGCTCACCCTGACCTCGATTACCTATAAGTTACGTAAAGAGGGGTGAAGCTAGTCTTAAGCAAGCGGTGACGCATCCAGATTATCGCCAACTAAATTCAAAATCGATCCATGTTTTGGAAGACACCACCCAGAATGTCTATCGATAGTTTTTGTTCAGCATTCTTATTAAAGTGAACAAAGCTTACAGGTCCTTATTATCTTCACAATAAGGACGAAATCTTCTTACCATTTTAAAAATTGACAACTAATACGGTGTACTGAAGAGATAATGAAACTAGCTGTTGTCATTGTATGTGAAAACATTAGATGAAGAGATACCTTATCTTAATGAGGACTGTTTGCTTGAGCCGTTCCTTGATTACTATGATTATGATAGCTATAGAAATGAACTTTATGGTAATGGACTTAAGGTACTGTTACACAAGCTCTAAAATAGCATGCTGAAAGACGTTCATTAAGCATCCTCAAAAATGTTTGAAAATCGAACGCCTGTCCATTTGCATGATGGCCAAAATGAGCAATCTAATTTTGAGCAACATTTCGACACACATGCATGCACTAAGTGACAAGTGCTTGAAAATACCATGTTCGACCGTTCGACTACCAAACTTTAAAAAAACATGTTGATATAATGCAAAAAGACAAATCTTATACGACACTTTTTCCTGATATCAAATGCCTTACAGAAGTAGGTGTGTTACACAAAATTGAACCGAACGTCTGTCAAGATAAGGTTGATATAAGTATCTATAATTGAGCTGTGACGTAATATTTTATTATATTATCTTGTGTTCTTTATCTTATATTGATGTGAGGCGTAAATTATGCGTATCAAGAGGCTGGCACGAATAGTAAACATGATTCCCTTTATGAATGTTGCCATAATTAGTCTACTTGTAATATAATAAATTATGTATTAGTGTAACCTATGACCCTATAACATTTGTTAGGGTTGTCAGATATGAATTTTAAGTTCAATGACTTGTGAGGTATTTACTTAGTGTATGATTTATATAACAACAAGTAATCCAGCTAGTTAGGTCCGACCGACCCGGCCGCTGGGGCAGAAAGGTTCTCGAATGGAGGCCACGTACCGGCAAGCGCAGCGTAGGATGTTCAACCAGCCTATCTTGAAGTCATTGGGGGAGGCCTATATTCAGCAGTGGACGTCCTGTGGCTGACATGATGATAATTTGTATGGCGATTGCTGTCTTAATAGTTAATAGCTACAACTTTGACTAGTTGTAAATAGGTAGTAAGTTAACTAAAAATCGCAGGTTACTCACGTGAAAATACTGAGAAAAGCTCTACAGTAGCCTATTTGTTATTCTAGACCATCATCTACCTCTGTTTCCAATTTCATCCCAATCCCTTCAGCCGTTTTGAAGTGATTGAGTAACAAACTTAACACAAACTCAAACTCACCGCTACATAGTATAAAACAAAGTCGCTATCCGCCGTCTGTCTGTCCCTACGTATGCTTAGATCTCTAAAAATACGCAACGGATTTTGGTACGGTTTTTTAAATAAATAGAGTGATTCTTAAGGAGTGTTTATATGTATAATACATGCATATTGCACTCGTGCGAAGCCGGGGCGGGTCGCTAGTTTATAATATTAGGAAGATCACCATTTTCCTCTTGTCTTGTGGCTTTTCCAACTATATAATGTATTTAGAGAATAAATTATAATGTACAATAGAAAAATGACAATCATAACTTATGTCGATTAAAATAGTAAAAACTAGATCGTAGCTAAGCGAATGTGCGGAGAACTTAAACAGTTACCGGGGCTCCGGCTCGACGTGCAGGAGTAGGAACGAGGTGGTTTTTAGTCAGTAAGAGTCTGATACTCCCTCCCGGCTCACCCAGCCGGGAGAAGTCATTCGATGATTTTCCCCCCTTAAAAAAAGCTACGCGAATGTAGACCTAATTGCATTTCAATATGTATAAGAAAATAAACTTAAGGTGGGTCATAATTCTTATTTGTCTATCGTACCTACTTGAGATGGGTTTTAAATTAGCATTCTGACTTTCCTGTTCGTTGGAAAGACCAGTAATAGGTAGGTACAATGATCGATTTCCTTGTTTTTTACTAGTTTTATGTTAGGTACGAAGTCATGTATAAAAATATTTTTTAGTTGGAATGGTGGTTGTTTTTATTTTTGTTTAAGTAAAACAAATTGACTGCACAGTTGCCGCGCAACGTGTTGCGGGTTCGGAACAATTCTTTTTGTGATCCACAGATTATTGTTCTGGGTCTAGATTTCATGTGTATGTGAAATTGTTTATTTGTAAACGCACCTACGACACAAAACAAAATCCTAGTGTGGCGCAATGTTATAAAAAATTGTGAAACCTTGCCTTATCTTCATTGTACCTATGACAAATAATAATTCTTTCTTATAATTCTATCGCTATTCTGCCTTGAACAAGCGTGGTTATTAATGCTTATGCCTTCTCCGCGTGAGAAGAGGTTTTAGCTCAGCAGTGGCCACATAAATGATGACAATTAAAAATTATAGAATATTAACAACCTCCTACTTTGCTTTACTTTCCTCCAATGAATTGAAATCTAAACTAAATCAGTGACAACCCTACCCTATTTTAAATATATTTTTTATTATTTCAGTGTTCAGCGCACTGCACACAGCGTACATAGACAACGTGATCCTAGCTTACAACCCTGACCTACTGCATCGCGAGGAAGGCACTGATGACAACACCTTGAAGAATACATACAGTACGAAGGCATCCCCTATTTCCATGGGCAGTAATGGTGAGTTCTTTTACAAAATTATAAAAAAAAGTTAATATAGGTAACCTTTTTATTCTCGAAGGCCACCAAAAAGGTTGGCAACTCATTTGTAATTCCTCTAATGTTTCGAGTGTCTATGAGGGACGCTGATTGCTTACCATCAGATGACCTATCTGTTAGCCTACTTCTCTGTGTCTTAAAAAACCTTAGCTATTCATGTACTTTTCTTCTAGCTTCTATTTGACCAATATTTTTATGGGATAAGCCGGTAAACGAGCAGACGGATCACCTGATCGCAGTCGGCGTTGCCCATGGACACCTGGAACACCAGAGGCGTTACAAGTGCGTTACCGGTCTTTTGGGGATTAGGAATTTGAGGGTCCTTAGGATTCAGGGATTGGGGAAGAGGGTCCCCCTCTATATTATTAATTAATTGGGCCTCCGGTAACCTCATTTACACGACGAAACACAACGCAAGTGTTGCTTCACGTCGGTTTTCTTTGAGGCCGTGGTATCACTCCGGTCGAGCCGGCCCATTCGTGCCGAAGCAGGGTTCACAGTTGACAATTTTGAGTCAAAAAGACATGATACCTAATTTTGTTGCTGAAATTACAGCTCTACCATTAGCAGCTTGTACAATTTAATAACAAAATCCGTTCATAACAAAAGTCTCTAAACATCGGAAATAAGGTCTTTAATTGAATGAGGATTAAAAAGCAAAAACCAGCAAGCAACCATGAAATAGTGAAGTAACTACACTAACTGAATCTTGCCAAAATTATTTTATCAAAATTAAATTAAAGACTAAAATTAAGAAAGAATTGTTCTGAAATATATTTCTAGTAGGTACCGTGGTTTCTATTCCAGTGCGCATGTCGAGTACTGAAGTTGAGGCGGATAATGAGGCCGACGCGCGCAAGTGTGAGGCCATCCTGCCTGGTATCAAGATCCTTTGGGCCGTGCTCGAAGACTTCGTCAAAGAAGGTAAGTTTTTATTTTAGTAAAAGTAGTTAACTTTTTTGGTGGACTAAGGGCCAATTTTTCCAACGCTAGATAAATTTTAACTGAGGAATAACTGAATATTTGACAATTCTTTCATACCAAAAATTGTGATTGAAAAATCGACCCTATAAATAATCGAACCTTTATGATGTAGGTCAGTGTAGGTAATAGCTAAAAGCTCACAGTGAATATTTTTCTTGAAAAAGAACAGATTTCTTATGCTTTTTGATGTAGTGCTAGTGAGGTGTAAGGAATGTAAGGTCCCTGTGATTGCTTAAAAAGAATTAAAGCATTAAAATACACTAGGGGACAAATCTTCTGCGACACAATATCGCTAGCGACGTTGGGTGAATTACCGCGACGTTGCCGGACCTTGGTTCTGGTAACATCAACGTCGCTGTGGATATAGGGCGCGCGTTGTCGCCTTATGTCTATCGGGCGAAATCGGCAGGCTTCGTTTGACATATCGTCGATACATGGGACTTTGGTCCCCTAGTGTATTCTTGACTTCAAGCAATCATAGGGATTGAAATGGTGTATTCGAGGTCATGCGACATATTGCTATCTTAAATCTAGTGATTAAACAATAATCACAGTGTATCGTTACTGAAGTTACTGGCGCACCTCTTCTCTCTAACATTCTCCTCTAGTTTTGTTTGTCTTGCTAGGTTTAGTATTCGGTTCACCTTGACCAAGCTTTGTGATCCATGCCCAATTTCCCTTGTCCACTGGGATAGTTACAGTCAAAACATGATCTATATTTATGTTATAATTTTCGTGAGACATACTACACGAGGTGACTAACTGAATCAGTAGCAGCGCGACAGTCACCGCGTCGCGAGTCCCAGAATGCTGCTCATGAAAAGCCTCTAGCATGGCTTGAAACTAATAAAGTTCCGCGTCAAATAATTACCTGAGTTATCCGAAAAATATTAACATGATCTTTCCTTACAGGTCGCGTCCAACAGCTAGGTGTAGCAGATGTAGGCGGTGGATGTCTACGTAAGCTGCACGCGTGGGCTCGGGTCCGTCCGTCTATAGCTCAGATCAACCTCGCCTCGTGTTGCGTAGTACCGCCTTCACTGCACGCCTTCTGCCGAGCTAATGATGTACAGCTGCTTACACACGCTGATCCTCCAGGTAATTTTAATTCAAATTAAATAAAATTAAAAGGTTACATAGAATAAAACCCCCACAATTCACGGGCTGTTTTAAGTCCCTCATAAACATATTCCCAGTCCTATATTATATTATACGAATTAGACTATTGCCATACACTGGACATAATTCCAAATTCCGTGCTATTGTTGATAAATTATAGAATTAATTCTTCAAACTTATTTTCCCGTAAAGGTGTGTAAGATACGTCATTTTGCTAGTAATGATAAACCCCTTTTAAAAATGGTGGTAAGATTTTGATCAGCTACGTGGGTCCATTTCACTGTTTAGACTTTCGAATTTTAAAAAAAACAAGGGTTTTGTTCGATCTAAGGATCGGACTCACTATAGCTTAGTATTATTTATTAAATTAATAATTGAAAAGCAAACTTCACATTTTAAACGCTTACAAGTTCACAATAACGATACTAACTTTCTCACTTTTCATTCCAGATCTACTCTCAATCGCTGCAGTGAAGACCTTGTCAGACGCGGGCGTAGGATGCGACAACTTGGACTGGTGCGCTCGCTACCAAGTCCACATCAAGTGTAGGGGAGTCCTCGCCCTAAAGGGATACGTCTGTAAGGCCACGCTCGACAATAAGTCAGATAAATTAGAAAAACTACAGAAGATATAATGTCAAACGCGGAAACATCGCGTTAATAGTAAGGTATTTAAGCATTTTATTCTTGACAAAAGTTGCGCTAACTTGCGCTAAGTCATTGCGCAAACTACCGTTTATGGTTAAATGCGCTAAGTATTAGTATGAAATGGTACTATTTTTTATATATCATCGCAAACATTTCTATTAAACGAATCCAGGTAAACTTTTCGACTTTAAATAAACTTTAAAGTAGCGCAAGTGAAAAAAAATGCTCTTGAATGTTATTGAGCAACAGATTTCTTGCCAACTGAGTTGATCTTGTACAGTAAGCGTCGAATAACACTGCTGTTCTTCACATAAAGAACAAAAAGTAAAGGGTGCGGGATGCAAATAGGATGTGCAATAACGAGTAAAAGAGACACTTATATTAATGTATTTCAGAACTACAGTGTTATATGGCGCGAACTGTACTTTAGCGCAGGCTTTTGTCAATAATTTCGATTAATAGTTTAATTTAGGCAGTATTGACACCATAAATGCGAGGTCGTTTTAGTATGTTTGTAAAATAATAAGTAACTATTGATTACATATTAATGGCAGAATCAATTTGCATTTTTCATCCTAAATGTTGCTTAAAATGATCAAAAATACATCAAGTAAACTAAATAAGTATTTGTTAAAAGAGTTGGTACAGAAAAATGATTTCTAAAGTTAGGTATATTAAGTTTATTTCAACTCCAGGATCATAAAGTTACTTATTATCTTAGATACATTAGTCAACCAGTGCATTTTAGACATTTAGGTTCATATGTATAGCGTAAATTGTGATATAGTTCCATATACTTAAACTATGTACTTATAATTGTTACTTAACTTCATAAAGGTGATAAAGACACCATAGTCGCATGATTAGTTGCGGAACTATAATGTCTACAGAGCAAATATTAACCAGATAGTTATGAAACCTAGTTTATATACCCGGGCACGAAACAAGGCTAGGTTTTTGGTGGTGGGGTTAAGTTCGCGCGTTGTTTATTTTCACTTCAAACAATACAAATTACATTTTCTTATTCTTACGATAACTTATACCTTATTAGACATGCTAAAAATTAAATAATGGCGAGTGACCAAAACAATGATAATATACGCGCGAACTTAGTCCAAAGACCAAAATGTTGGCCACGGTTCGTGCCGGGGACTATTCATCTGATCGTACAACCATGGTGTCCTAATGAAATAGGGCTAGAATGAACGTTTTCACCGAACACCCCTAAACCATCTCTTACCTAAAAGTTACTTAGCGTGACGTGACACCTAAACTAACCGCATATGTTGTTAGGTGTCACTTAAACGTTGATGAAAACCAAAATGTCGTCTTAGGGGTACCTTAAAATTTAAGAAAGGTTGGTGATAACTGGCATTAGACTCTGATTATTAAATTATGATGTTCAAATTTCAATAGAAAATATTTAATTTCAGTTCGAAATACAGAATCGGTTAATAATGACGTCATGATGTCGGTTTATAACAATCGAGTTCATTTGCTTCGTTTTAAATGAAATTGGATTGCTTCAGTGTCAGAGTTTTTATTATACATAGTGCACAAGCTAGGTTATACGGTGTTATACGATTTATTTAGTTATCGATTAGTTTTTATAGATGTCGACTTGTACAGTTGTTTTGGTTGGGAAATAGACAGAAAAGTATGACTATTCTACGAAGGCTAAATGAAAAACGCGAATATATTTATAATGCGAAAATGAAATGAGAATGTATGGCTCTTTGAATGCTTGCAAATGTAATTGATAAGTTGACATCTATAAGTTAAATAGTTACCTTATAAAATTATTGGTTATTACAATAATTTGGTACTTGCGAATTTGTGATAAGCTTTTACTACACTATTATAGGCGATTTCGTAAAGCGCCTAACTGCTTTTTCCAAGCAACATTTATTAAAAACAAGTTTGCATTTTATTGCAGACAAGTTTTTGTCAGGCGCTAATTAAATTTTAGTTCTGGAATGATAGTATTTCGATGCAGTTAACCATTATTTTTAATGATACTTAATTTACCACAGATAAAAAATGTTTGTGCAACCAAGGAATTATTTAACTGAGTGTGTACTTCGGATTTGTAATCTCATTTATTTATGCTTTGGTTACTTAATTTCGAAAATTTATTGAATTTATCTGACATAATTCTGTCACAATTAAAAAATGTTAATCACGGTACAAAATGTTACTAAAATACTGCCAGAAAGTACATTATGAAAGCAATTTAATAGTTTTAAATAAATTTTGATTTATCGACATTCCTTTATACGTGTGCGCGATGCCCCAAGTAGTTTTTTAACTGTAATTATTATGATGCAATCAAAATTATAGCATTACTAATCTATCTGTTCAAAAGAACATAACAATTATCTAAAAAAAAAGTTACCTGACAGCTATCATTCTGTCATCTGTCAGTTGATATTGATTCCCGCCAATTTTTAATTCTGGTCGATTTTTTAACGATTGAATCTAAACTTTAAGTAGTTTATGAAAATAAGCTGCAGAAACGTCGCAACTTATATAAAGTTATCACATTGAATAATAAATAAGCACGTTAGAAACTGTGTTGTACCTAATATAAGTTTATCTACTCTTATTAGGTGGCGTTAGCAGTATAAATGACAACGTTGTATTAAAGTCACGGTTGTTCTTGTAAGAAAAAAACCCGTGTCGCTTTTTTATTTGAACAGTTAAAATAGTTATACTATAGTTTTGTTTATTCTTCAATGTTGCACACACAAAAAATACATGTTAAATGTTATAACTTAGATCGTATCTTTATAACATACGATTCATAGGTGCCTCATATTTAAAAATTATATTAAGATGTTTCTTATGACTTAAAAATGCTTAAAAAAGTGTAAAAATGTTTATAACTATAAAAAAATACATTCAAAAATGTATAATGTAAGATGAAACCCGAATTGTTTTAAAATTAAAGTATTTATTGAATAAATTCTTGGGTTTTTATTTTATTTCATTTACAGGATGAATAGATTTCATTTATTTCTTTCCACTATTATTTTATAATACAGGTAAAAATTATATATACAATTAATATTAACTATAACTAAATGAAAATATATACAACTTAAAATATAAATAACTATGAACTAAAATATTTACACCTTAAAAAAAAGGTAATAATAAATAAATAAGCTATAATAAGGCATCAAAAAAAAAATTTTCCTCATCATTATCGTGAGGTAGGGTGCCCAAAAGACTGGCAGCATTACCACGTTGAATGGCAATGCTTAACCTTTGTCCAAGGTAGAAGCCAGCCCTTCGATCACCTGAAGTGTCAACCATCCTCTTTACAATATCTTTGTAAAGAAGATGTGCACTTGGGCCCCACGGCCCTAAAGTTTCAACCCCAAACGGTTCGAAAGCATAATTGCCAATCAGGCTATCATACTTTCGCCGTTTGAGGTTCTCGGCAGCAGCAGCGGCAGCACCGGCTCGACACGCTGAGTTTGGAAGATGGGATGGCGCCAGAGTATCAACGCAAGTGGCGTCCCATACTAAAGGCCTACCCATCTTCCAAGGGAATAATGACATACCGTCGGGTCTCTTGCCATCGTTGCGTACCAAGCCATTAGGTTCTAAAGTAGCTGGCACGCCAACGGAGACAAGAGCTCGACGAATGATGTCATTAATACTCGCGTGTCGAGCAAAACGACCCGCACTACGGCTACACGACAAGCCGTGGTGTCCAAGGCTGTTGACATCTTCACCACAACGACAACGATGAGGTGAACAAAATGAAGCCCCAAGCCTTAAACAAATTGCAGCGCGGAATGTGGTGTCGTCCAACAAAGTACCTAAGTTGGACGAAGGCAAAGCAAGAAGCCATAACCCTGACTCCCACTCACCCACAGCCAAAAGGCGAGCTCGCTCTGCAGTTGAACAAGCGGAGTTCAATAGATTTTCGCTCACTTTCCTGCAGAGCGGCTCGTCCCATTGTCTCTGGGAGAGTGATTTGACGGGGGGGTCAATATTTGGGCAAGCGATTTTCCAAGCTTTCACAGCTTCCACTAAAAATGGTACATCAAAATTAACCAGTGATTGAGAAAGAATTTTCCTGGTTAATTCTTCAGTACCATGGGCGGAAGATATGAAAGCTGGTAGGCTTACACTGGAAATTTTACGGACGCCAAGCCCACCCATGCGGACAGGCAGAGTAGCTTGTGTCCAGGCTCGGTCGTCGAGAGCCACATTCAAAATTAAGGATAAAGTTTGTCTAATGTTTCGGTCAATTTTTTCTAAAAGAAGGGGTGCAGACCAGAGGTGGGTCGAGCGCAAAAAATACATAAATTTGGGACCAAAACAACAAAAACGAATAATAGTATAGGCCGAATGCATTCTAATGTGATACAGTCTTTCTGAAACGACAGAAAAATTTTGAATTTTTTCATCAATAAAACTTTGAAAAGAGTCCTCGAAGACGGGCGCACCTAGGAGGCGAAGCGAACATTTATCGACAACCGAGATATTAGGCGCAAAAGTAGTAAATTTTGATATGATCTGTCTGTCGGTAGAGTCATGTAAAAATATCTCACACTTGGAATAATTTAGGTCAAGGCCAATAGCATGAAGTTCGTTTTTTAAAAATTGGAAATCATTTAAAACTGTATCTGCATCGCCTCCCAGGGTACCGTCATCGAGGTACCACACATTAAATTTAGAATTTAGCTGTCGTATAATAGGATTAATGGCCAGGCTAAAAATCACTGGCCCAAGGGGATCGCCTTGTTGACAGCCAACGGCTGATTCCAAAAGGTTGTCCTGATATAATAATTTTGTAGGGTGTCTATAACATTGCCAGAGAAAACTAAAAATTTGGGGTACTTCCTTTTTAACTTCTGTCAACAGAGTATCCCTATTGACCGAATTAAAAGCATTCTTAATGTCAACCTTCAGGATGATATCACCTTTCCTGGAATTCAGGTAGGTCGACAACGCATGCACGGCAGCCTCGCAGCCCCCTCTAGATCCATACCCGAGTTGAAGGGGCTGGAATTTTTCCGAAAGAAGATTATTATAAAATTTGCAACAAATCTTGGCTGCCATGCGACGATAAGTTGTTCCCACGGCAATGGGACGAATACCGCCATCCTTCTTGCGTAGGGCACATAGATTGGCCCCATACAAAACGTCGATGACGGATTCGTGCACATTGCCGGAGAGCATAAGATTGATCAAAACCGTAAGCTCCTTCAGCAGCGTCACGCCGGACTCCCCGGCGCTTGAGCTCGTCAGATCTTTGAGATGCTGCGGCGTCAAACCGTCGAGGCCTCCGGCAGAACCGCTCCGGAAGGAGCCTATGGCAGTGACCACTTGTCGACCTGTAACAGATAGGGTATGAATATCTGCTTCTGGAGGATCCGGAAAAGAGAGACCATCTACTGGGGCCGGGTGTTTGATCTCCAGAGCTTTAAGTGTATCTGGAGAACATGGAGCCAGTACGTCATTGCTAAAAATAATTCTGGCTGCGCCGCTAATATCACCTTCACCTATTTTGGTCTCAACTAAATCAGCTAAAGTTTTGGTTGAGGAAATTATTAATATAATAATTAATATAGGAATTTACAGGATTATCATTGTACTAATGTACTTAATCCTTGTACAAAATTTTTGATACTTTATATTTAGCGTTAGGTATTCTATATTTGACTGCGTCGTTAGCTGAGTGGTCGCAAATGCGACTGCCGTGCCGGGCAAGGGGTCTCGGGTTCGATTCCCGGGTCGGACAAAGTACCAAAGTAAGTAGGGTTTTAAAAAAAAACTTTGGAAGCACTGAGTCTGGAAATGTGCCCGGTATAAATATGGCAATAGGCTCACCCCCTATTACATGGGACTCATAACATAAATTTTATTAAATAGTGAAAAGTCCGTGTGACACTGAACAGTTCCATTAAGTGCCGCAATGGGCACCTCTGCCTACCACTTCGGGGATAAAAGGCGTGATCTTATGTTATATTTAAGCTATATAAACTAACGTGAAAGAATTTCAATTACATAAATAGGATGACAATATGTCACTCTTGCACTTTCACTTGTTGACCTTTTTCTTATGGGATAAGCCGGGAAACAAGCAGATTCATCACCTGATAATAAGGGATCGGCGTCGCCAATGGAGACCCGGAACCCAGAGGCGTTACAAGTGCGTTACTGGTCTTTTGGGAATTAGGAATTTGAGGATTGTTGGGGATTAATGGATGGGGGGCAATTGGGCCTCCTGTAACCTCACCCACGCGACGAAACACAACGCAAGCGTTGTTTCACGTCTTGTTCTGTGAGGCCGTGGTATCACTCCGGTCGAGCCAGCCCATTCGTGCCGAAGCATGGCTTTCCCACACTTAACGCTCAAATCGTCTGCACCTCTACATTTTTACAACAAGTACCAAAACATATAACAAAATAACACAACGTTCCTTACCATTATTTCAAATTGACAGGTGTATATTATTCCACGAAATTTAAAAAAGTAAGAAACGTCAGAATACAAATACACAGATAATAAAAAGTTAATTAAAGAATTTGACATTCGCGCTCAAGGGTTGAGAATCTCGTTAGTATTTAATTATGGCATTTTTTAAAGTAATAACATGATATTTTATGAATGTGTCGCAATAAAATTGACAATGTTATCAGTAATTGATTGAAAAAAGAGGTTGACATTAATTCGACGACATCGTAAATTCGTCACATGTCAGTATTTTAAAATTGTTTTAAGTAGGTACCAGGAACGTATGGCAATATTTTAGTTAGACAAAGAGAGTGTTGGTTTGATGTTTTATAAGTTCATCTACCAGTTATCATGCTTCCTTCTTTCTTTCTTGACCCCAAGATACCTCAAAGTATCGTAGGTACTCCCGAAAGATATATTAGGTACCT